ATATGGCACCTGTAACCTGATATATTGACATAGAGCAGTTAACAAAATATCAGACAGCAAATTACATGGAGTACACACACACACACATGAGTACACACAGACACACACATGTTGGTGTGTGTGTGGCCAAATTTTTGTTAGCTCCGGCTTCACTTCAGCTCCACTCTGGCCAAATGTTAGTTTGCTCCAGCTTCACTTAAGCTCCACTATGGCCAATTTTTTTAGCTCCAGCTACACTTAAGCTTCACTCTGGCCAAATTTTTGTTAGCTCTTCACTTCACCTTCCCAGACCAAATTTTTGTTAGCTCCGGCTTCACTTCAGCTCCCCTATGGACAATTTTTTTGTTAGCTCCGGCTTCACTTCAGCTCCGCTTCAACTCTGGCAATTATTTGTGTTGCGACGATTACACATCGGCAAAGACAAAAATGCCTCGATTGTTATTAGTAAATTGGGATAGATACATAACAATATTAGATATTTTGTATGTGATTTGATCAAATCATAACCAAATAAAAACATGTAAGACTTTGCTAATCGTATCATCACACCCCCTCTTCCCCCCCGGCCCAACTTCAGTGTTACACAAGCCATGGACGCCGTGTTATTAGTCAGTGCTGGGTTAAGTTACTGGCAACTCGAGCCAGCGACACCAGGTGGCACTTATTTCTTAATATGGAGGGGCGGAATTTTTTCTGACAACTTTAGAGTTTTTCATGACAGTGGGTGTCAAAAATATTGGCCCGGTTCTAGGTGGAGGCCATTAACCTTAGCTACGACAAAACTCTGGGAAATAAGAAATATGTTCGTTTCAAAAATTGTGTGTGTGGGAACAAGATTTTTTGGTTTAATTTCATCACCTTTCTTGATTTTTCTTATTTGGATGGATTGCCAATTCGGACTCTTGTGAACAACGGATGGGACATTTTGGTAGCTCTTGGCTTTGATAACAAAACTGATCCCTTCTATTCTTCAAAATTTTACGGAAAGAGGTGTTTAGATTCATTGAATTTGAAAACATTTAAATTATAGTACTGTTATTTAAATATAATCTTTAATCTTAAACGTGAAATTTTTCTCAATCCCTTTTAATTTGGCCACTTGGTATAAGGACATCAAAATGTTCATTGAAAGTGTCTTCTATTTTCTTACTATTGGCACTTTTTATTTACCCTCCGGTGTAAGTTTTTAAAAAGTCAGTTTTCTATCATTATGAAAAGAAAAAAAATCCACAAGTGACAGTAAGCCTTTATATCACAAAAAAGATTATCAGGTGTTTACAGGATGTCTCCTCCACCGAAGGAGGGGGAGAGGGCACACTAATCACTCTCTCCGCAAACCCCTGGATAACATCACCAGACAATCCCTAACATGGAATCCACAGGGAAAAAGAGAGGAAGGTCAAAGAATACATGGAGACGCGAGCTAGAGGCAGACACACAATGTATGCAATACACCTGGAAGCAACCGGAAAGGCAAGCACAGTGCCGAGATGAATGGAAAATTCTTGAAGACGGCCTATGCGCCAGAAGGGGGTAAAAAGCATAAGTGAAGTAAATGAAATTGACAAGATGTCTCACATGAGCATCCTATTAAATACAAAGTGAAAACCTACCATACGACATGATTAACTAACCATTAACTGTGGTCAGTCGTATTTGGTTCAGTCAGAGTAAATGGTATTATATAGGTTCATTCTGCCGTTTGGGGGGTGTTAAGCACCAGGATCTGGTTTAATTTGTAAGCGAAGACTTTTCCAAAAATTTCAATTATTAACTATTGAGAATGTTATGTTTTTATTGAGAATATAATCTGGTTGTTAACATAGTGCCCCTTAAATGCTGACTGGTGAATAAGAACTAGTGATGTTTTCTTTTGGTGGTGTGTGTCTTAAATTTTTACCTCTTTCAATGTTGACCAATACAAAATGGTGGATGGGACTCGTTAACAATGGGTGACACCTCATTTAAGAGATGGCAAACTCTGAAATCAAACCCCGGAGATGGAGTCCCGTAGGCGGTATGACATTGACACAATGAAAATACCGATAAAGCCTGTGACGTAGAATGCATAAAGAGCACAGTAAGACACAAGACACACTGCTGGTCATCTACTGCATCCTGGTCTATTACCAGTCATCTTGGCTGTCTTTTCATTTGAACAAATAGGCAAGGACAAGTTGTGGAGACTGAAGAATTGAGCAACTCTCCTTCACTTTAAACAAAATACATCTCCAAGTCAGGGCTATTCAGGGGGAAACCTTGGTCATCTTCCCGAGGGGACGACGAACAATAAGACCAAATTAAAAATTAGTAACAAAAAATATCAAAGATAATTATATAACTCTAAAGTTAGACAAGATTGTGGGAAGAATAAGGTCGAGGGTGTTTATAAGATAAATAGAAAACAGTGGTTTGGATTTGGGCAGTGTTTCCAGCGAGGTGGGGCAATAGAAAACAGTGGTTTGGATTTGGGCAGTGTTTCCAGCGAGGTGGGGCAATAGAAAACAGTGGTTTGGATTTGGGCAGTGTTTCCAGTGAGGTGGGGAAATAGAAAAAGTGTTTTGGATTTGGGCAGTATTTCCAGCGAGGTGTGGCAATAGAAAAACAGTGGTTTTGGATTTGGGCAGTGTTTCCAGCGAGGTGGGGCAATAGAAAATTTGGATTTGGGCAGTGTTGCCAGCGAGGTGGGGCAATAGAAAACAGTGGTTTGGATTTGGGCAGTGTTTCCAGTGAGGTGGGGAAATAGAAACAGTGTTTTGGATTTGGGCAGTATTTCCAGCGAGGTGTGGCAATAGAAAAACAGTGGTTTTGGATTTGGGCAGTGTTTCCAGCGAGGTGGGGCAATAGAAAACAGTGGTTTTGGATTTGGGCAGTTTTTCCAGTGAGGTGGGGAAATAGAAACAGTGGTTTGCATTTGGGCAGTGTTTCCAGCGGGGTTGGGCAATAGAAACAGTGGTTTGCATTTGGGCAGTGTTTCCAGCGAGGTTGGGCAATAGAAAACAGTGGTTTTGGATTTGGGCAGTGTTTCCAGCGAGGTGGGGCAATAGAAAACAGTGGTTTGGATTTGGGCAGTGTTTCCAGCGAGGTGGGGCAATAGAAACAGTGGTTTGGATTTGGGCAGTGTTTCCAGCGAGGTGGGGCAATAGAAACAGTGGTTTGGATTTGGGCAGTGTTTCCAACGGGGTTGGGCAATAGAAAACAGTGGGTTGGGATTGGGTGGTGTTTCCAACGGGTTTGGCAGAGGCGTAGCGTGGTGGGGGCAGATGTCCCCGGGCGCCAGCTAGTTAGGGGCGCCAAAATGTGCTTTGATATTATTTTATTGATGAAAATAGTGGGTTTGAGAGTTGAAAAAAAAGAAAAAGGGGCGCTAAAAATGGATCTTGTCCCCGGGTGCGAATCTTGTCCCCGGGCGCCAAACAGCCTCGCTACGCCACGGGGGGTTGGGCAATAGAAAACAGTGGGTTGGGATTGGGCAGTGTTTCCAACGGGGTGGGGCAATATAAAAATTGTTTGAACAAGAGTGTGGGGATATTTAGTCTCATTTACGTTTTGAAAACAAACCAAAAAAAAGTTGGGGTGGGGAGAAAGAGAGAGAGGGGGGGGGAGAGCTATGCTAGAACATTATTTTTTTAAAAGATGATCGCTGTTATTGTTTTTCATGTACTGCAATACAAATGGTTTGTTAGCTTTTTCATCCTGCTCATTTGAAGTTTGAATCTCACGGTCGAAATGAGTCAACAATTTCTCATTCAAGCGTTCCTCACCTCAACATGAAAAATTCGTTTTTTAGCTCTTCCGCTGGGGGTGGGAGCGGTGGGGAGTGGACGGACTAGAGACACATACACACTTATTGGGGTATTGATTTCATGGTTGGGAGGGGTATTGATTTCATGGTGTTGGTTTTTATTTCAAAGTGGAGGGTATTGATTTCGTCACGGAGGAAATTGATTTTTATGGCGGAAGGTTTGATTTCAAAGGGTAATGATTTCATGGTCAAGTGTATTGATGTCCTGGTCAAGTGTTTGATCTCATGGTAAATGGTATTCAGTTCACGGTGCATGGTACTGATTTCATGGTGGATTATATTGATTTTGTAGTGGATTGTATATATTTCTTGGTTAATGGTATTAATTGTATGGTGGATGATGTTTATTTCATGATGGAGGATATTGATTGCATGGTCAAGTGTATTGACATTGATTTTATGGAGGGCGGTATTGATTACACGGTGGAGGATATTGATTTCATGGTCATGGGGTATTCATTTCAAGATCAAGGGTATTGATTATATGAAGGAGGGTATTGATTACACGGTGGAGGGTATTGATTTCATCTTCACGGGTATTCATTTCATTCTTTTCATTTCAAACACAATATTATACAGACAAAATTTGCTTGAATGTATACATGATTTATTTTCAATTAAAATTGATTTCTAGAAAATTGTATAAATGATCAACTTAAAATGTACATAATCTCGTCCAGTATTTAGTTCTTGTGGAAAAAAAACAACAATAATTTATTCTTATCAGTGATACATATGAGTTGTTTCATCTGTTTCATTCAATAAACAGTTGCTTGGATATTTTTAACAAAACAAAATGGCAGCTATAGTGCATAAAATGTACGGAACTACACATTTAATGTAGGTCATGTTATAATATGTACAGCACATGCAAAACTTGTAGGAAATAATAGGATATATTTATTATATATTTATTTATTTATATATTTATATGAATATGTGAATGTATATATATATATAATATATATATATATATATATATATATATATATATACATATAAGTACAAAGATTCATGCTTGAGGAGAAATAATCTCAAGAATAAAATATACAGAACATACAAAAATTGTATAAAATAATATGATATATATATTATATATTTATTTATTTATATATATATATAAATATGTGAATATATATATATATATAATATATATATATATATATATATATATATATATATATACATATAAGTACGAAGATTCATGCTTGAGGAGAAATAATCTCAAGTTGACATTGTAGTTGAGAGCAGTGCAGGAATGTGTACTAAAAAATTGTTCATAGCAAGGTGAGAGTGACGTTACATCACAAGTGCTCGTAAAATCACTGTTGTTGTTACATCACAATTCAATATTAAGATGTGTTGTTTTTTTGTTGTTTTTTTGTACAGTTTTTAGGCAGGCCATACCTTTTATGAGTCTATCAACAAACAAAAAATAGTTTAGTAATATGGATACTTGCCAAAGTCATGACTGAGACTGGTCAAGTTATTTTAACTTTAGTGATGACATAGACAAATATGTGCACAAGATTCTGGGACTAGAAACACATTACATACACTAAAACAACTGGACGTCATGTTGACAGAACAGAGAGTTGAGTGGAAGGTCGACATTGAAATGTACATAGTTCACAGGTTAGAAATGTGGGAAAGAGCCTTATCTGATAATAGTGTTGTTTTTTAACACAGGATTTAAATGTTGCTTGAGAAAGAGAAGAGCTCTTTTAAAGGGTCCCAGGTCCAAAGCTGAAATATCGTTTGGTTCTTCATCTGCCCTGGTACATGGCCACCCTATTTCAAACCTTGTAAATGGCTACCCTACTTCTACCCTGAAAATAGGCCACCCTACATATGGCCTGTTACATGGTCACCCTACTTCAACCCTGGTACATGGCCACCCTAAATCTGGCCTGGTACATGGCCACCCTACTTCTGCCCTGGTACATGGCCATCCTACTTCAACGCTGGGACATGGCCACCCAACTTCTGCCCCGGTACATGGCCACCCTACTTCTGCCCTGGTACATGGCCACCCTAATTCTGGCCTGGTACATAGCCACCCAACTTCAAACTGCCCTGGTACATGGCCACCCTACTTCTGCCCTGGTACATGGCCACCCTACTTCAACCCTGGTACATGGCCACCCAACTTCTGCCCCGGTACATGGCCACCCTACTTCTGCCCTGGTACATGGCCACCCTAAATCTGGCCTGGTACATAGCCACCCAACTTCAACCATGGTACATGGCCACCCTACTTCAACCCTGGGACATGGCCACCCAACTTCTGCCCGGTACATGGCCACCCAACTTCTGCCCTGGTACATGGCCACCCCATTTCAAAAATCAACTTTTGAATTATGGATTAAGTAAATGTCTCATTTCAATTTAAACACTTTTTTTTTTATCCATGTTCAATTTACAATTTGGTAAAACAAATGCTGTTAATAAAAACTATAAGGCAAAAATTGTCATACATAGAAATCTATTATCTCAGCATCACACATCTGATGGGTCATTACCAGTACATACTCAACAGAAACATAGGAGCCAGAATGATCAATTCATTGATTGTGGGGCCTCAAAATATAGAAGAGAAGAAATTACACTGACATGTTTTTAGATCAACTTTCCCAGCAAGGGTTAAAATGTTATGTTTGAAATCTGAACTCCAACATTCAGGAAAATATGTATTTTTCACAAGGCAACTCAAAGAACAATAACATTGAAATTCCATTTGTTAATGATGTTGTAGCGGTGCAAGTTCTTGAAACATGACGGTGAGAATATTGCTCTAAAATAGTATTCCCAATAGTCTGCAAGGGCGTATTTTTCTATTTCAATAGCAAGGTAATTAGTACAAGAAGCAAGTTAAACAGTACAAGAAGCAAGCTAAACAGCGCAAAATGTGCTAAAACCCTATGTTTTTATAATCTGTATCACAGACAGACAACAGCGTGATATCACATTAGCTATAATAAGGCTGGGATGATTTCTACCTTCTTAAAAAATTGCGTGACTCTTCATTTGTGCCAACAAATTAGTCAGAATCAGATGAATGTTATCTCACAGTTTCTTTTGTTTAAAGAAAACATATTTCTTTTTGAGAGTACAGGAAAAAACGATTTTATAAATTCAGAATGAGGATGTTTGTTATCAAATGCTTGATCAAATAAAAGGTCTGAAGAAACCGAAACACTGTGCTTCGCCCTGCTGTAAGTCTTCAAGTTCACAGCACCAAAAGGTGAAACGTAGCAAAAAAATTTAAAAATATATTTTTTGAAACAGACATACGAGGTTTAACAAAATAAGATTTGAAAAATGTCAGACTTAAGTTAACAATTATCAAAGTGGTCTTATATAGGGCGGTAGCCCAGCCGAGGGCTAATCTCACCGTACCTCACATAAAAATTGGCCCCAAAATTTTTTTTTAAATTTGCATATTTTTTTTAGATTCAGTTGACGCCTTTCACAGTGTGAAAATTGAAGGTTTCTAAGATAGCAAGAAAATGTTCATGACTGTACTTTACATTAACTGGCCTCATGGACTATTGAAACCCGAACAGCAACAAGTCTCAACAACGGCTAGAAGAATGGCTTTTCTAGCTAGCTATAAATTAAAGATCTATTATATTTATATTACAGTTTGTGAGACAGATGTACAGATGGAGACATTTGAATCCAATGAAACGTTTGAATGATCACTTATAAAAGCAAGTTTATTTGATTAGCAATGAAGAACCACATTAAACAGAATGAGTTTGTAGAAAAATAATAAAACTAAATAAAAAAACGTTTTAGGCTAATGATTGACAGAAATATAAAATATCGACACCAAAGTTTTAAAGACTAAATTTTTTTTTTTCAAATCTGACCTTAAAATAAATTGCATCATATGAGTGAGACACTTGTTTACATTAAACAACTTATGACTGAGACACATTTCTACTTTTAACTTAATTTAAGATTCACAATTCACACTTTTATTGTTGAAGATGCTGGTATCAAAGAACTTTTTGAATTACAATTTTGAATAAAAAGTATCTTAAGTTTGTGCATTTTCATCAGTAGGCAATAACAAACTTTTGAGATTTTATACACCTGATGCTATTATCTTTGAATAATGTCAGACATCAGAATTTGCTATCAAATTTAACCTATCACAATGCAAAAATGCATATATTGGGTTTTTTTTTCCCCGAGCTGTTGCATTTATCTTTCTGTAAATGTCCAATATAATAGTTTGTCTTTTGAGTTAAAAGTTTAAATATTGAGAAAGTATAGAATTTCTTAAATACAGATGCAATGTAAATATATTCCCATCAATAAGTCACTGTCACGTTTTTTAAAATATTTCATGGCTTATCAAAGAGATATAAATTGTGCATATAAAACACCATGATTACATTACACATTTTTCTTTTTTTAAAAACAATGAAACTACAATGTTATAAAAAAATAAATGTCAGTAGAGGTATAATTTCAATGAAACCCAAATACCTCCATCATGGCCTAATGCCTGGGCAACATCCCTTCAAACATAGCTGCTAAAACAATCCACAATGGAAAAAAAAAGATTATGAAACATCTTGAGTTTTTACAATTATATCATAGTCAAAAGTTGAAGAAAGAAATCTAATCCAATGCAACTATCTATGCTTCGATCAACACAGTAGACAATATTTGGAACAATGAAACAAGAATTTACAAGCTATTAAATCAAAACTGAAAAATGTTCAGATCACACTTATAGATGAGTTATATCAACAGTCAATCAATACAGATCTGGGGGTGCAATATTATTCACTATTAAGCCTCAGATCTTGAAATTTAAAAATGAAAATTAATTATCAACATTTGTCCATAGTTAGATTACATTTTTTTTATATTTTGATCACAGTTTTTGAAAAGGAGAAGAAGAAGAACCAAAAATATATTAATAAATATGACTGTATATCTTTTTAAAATACCAAAATTTATGAGTTATACTTTTGAATTTTTTCAAAATTTCATTTATTTATTTTTGCAACAGAAATAATTAACATTCAATTAATTAACAAAATAAAAAATTAGCTTTGATTATAATTCAAACTAAAAAAAAATTTTTTTATTTTTCTGAACTAAATCTGAGAACAAAACAGATCATTATCACATTTTCATGTTCCACAATTTCTTCTGCCACACCTAAGCAGAAATAACACAATTTTAAATAATTTTTTTTATAACTGACCAAGTTTTTGAATTTAAACAAATGTTTTATGCAATTGAAAAATTTAAAAAAATTAAAACATAAAAAGAAATCTAACTTTTAAAACATAACCTAAAATGATAAGCACCAAAATTAATTAAAAAAACAAGCCGTTGATCTTTCAATTGTATAAACTGGTGGTTTTAATTATTAGGATATACAAAAGTTATAAGCACTTTAATCTTACAGTTTTTTCTGTCAACCAGGAATAATTTCAATTTCTTTTGAGTTCTAGTGAGCCAGCAGAAGTTGACAATTAACAAGTTATGTAAAACAACAAAAATAACAACATTTATTTATCATTTTATATTTGTAAAACTAACTTTGATCTAATAAAATGATTTTATTTGTATAATTATCTCAAAGGAACAGATCGAATGTTTCAGAAAAGGAAAAAATACATGTTTCTTTTTTTTTTTTAAATAAATTAATTTCAGATGCATTAGATCTATTAATATAAAATTTCCATAAACTCAAATTTGCTATCAAATAAACAATAGTTTCATGAATATAATCTCTTTTAATACTGTTTGTGTCAGGTGGCTCAATGAAACTTGTGTCTCATAAATGCTCCATGTTAATGGGGTAACAATTGTGGACCATTTGGGAACAAAATGTGAATAATTACTTCTTATATACCGTAATACTGGCAAGTAGCACATTAGGGAGATCACCTTTCCCCCAAGTGTGAGAATCTATGATGATGTATACGAAATAGGATGTTTTATAGCACCTTAACTGATGGTATCATGGGGACATCCTCTGTTATATTATTTAAGGCTTGAAGAAAAGCAAAGGTGTATATTACATGTATATGTTTATTTTAAAACATATTGCACTCTACGCTTATCAAAAATGTTATAAAATGTATATTCGATTAGTGCATTGGACCCTTTAATAGACACAATAGAACAATATAAAGACAGTTTACCATAGCTATGTATTTTCACGCAAAAAACATATTAATTCACAGTATGGCCATTTGTAATTGTACATTTCAGAGAAGCATTATGAAAAAAATTTGTTCTTAATGAAACAAAACAGATAGGAAAATAAATTTGCTTGTTTCTCATAGAAATGTTTTAAAAAACACTGTTTAATCGTTAATTACCGGTATGGTACTCAACAATAACTATACTGGGGATATTTAAATTATTTTTTTTAAAATCAGCCAGATTTGACCTAAATGAAATATTATTATTAAAAATTTGAAAAGCAGCTGTAAATTGCAGAAATAATTTCTTTTCCCTTACTTAAAAAAAAGCTTTGTGTACACAGAAATAAAGTTTTCCAAAAATCAATTTCCTAAATCAATCGTTCCCAACCACTGGCAGATGACTACTTGGGGGTACTAAAAAATTGTTTTGATAATTATAAGTCAATAATAAGTGAATTATGACATCTTGGAGTCAACTATAATTTGTACGAAACAGCTAAACAGCTAATGTTGCACCAAAATATGAGTAAAATTTCAAAAGTGACTAATTTTCTGAGCTTTTAATTATTCTTTTTTAAATTAATAGATCATTGATTTCTAATGAGTAATATTCTTACATATATTTGTTTATATGGAAATTATGATACTAAACTAAATCAAAATAGAATAATCAACAATCCCTGGTACATGAGTAATATTGAATAAAATAAAATAGACAGACATGGAAAGCAATGAGTTCTTAAAATGCTGTTAAGTTGTAGTTAAAATGTCCCATTTAAAGTCTTTGTTAGCACCATGTGTCAGTTGTGGTATAGAGGGCTCCACTAGGTTCCACCTGCCTGTTCCAACATCTTCTACAGCAGAACATATACAACAGTAAGGGCAGCCTCTCACAATATTGCGGAACTCTTCTGGACTGCGGATAGGTTTCCCTCTCAATTGTCTGGTGCACGCATCCAAGGACCCGGAGTGGGCGACCATGAGAATATTTCCTCCTGTCCGATACAAAAATGGTTTTCAACATTAATCATTAGTAAAATTTTTTTTTTTTTTATTTGCGGGACAGAGGCCAATGGTCCCATCTTCTATCTCGGTTACTGCATTTTCCAGGCAAATGATAAAGTCTTTTCAGGTCCATTTGAAATGTTTAACTATGAGTCTACTTAGACCCTCCTTGATTCTTCTTACCATCTGTGAGTCTACTGAGACCCACCTTGCTTCTTCTAACTATCTGTGAGTCTACTGAGACCCGCCTTGCTTCTTCTTACCATCTGTGAGTCTACTGAGACCCACCTTGCTTCTTCTTACCATCAGACAGCATTCAGTCTACAGTGGTTAATGCCACGACATACTATGGCAGCCATAGAAAGTACCATTCAGCAATAGCCATTATAAGGCTCTCTTCCATACAAGAGATGAATACTTATAATAAAAATGTTATATACTCAAGTAAAGATGTATTTAAATTCTTAAAGTCTGAATGGCTAAGTGTAACAGACCAAGTTAACCATCATTTTTCACACGACCCTGACATTCATACTCACGACCCTAATATTCATTCTCACGACATGATGGCGCAGTTTTTATCAGAACGATGTAAATCACGAGAAAAGCGGGAACTAGTTTTAGAGCGGAGATAGAATACACGTTAAGTAGAGAAAAAAAGAGGCAGACATATTGAATTATTTCTCGTATGGGTTATTAAATTATTATGAGATGGAATATTGATCATGTGTGTATTTATTCATTGCATCCCAGAATTGTTACAAGGATATATTCCTAGCAAGATTTATTATTGACATGTTTATTACATGTAATAAAGTGCTGTGAATTATACAATTGGATGTTATCACATTCTTGGTGAGAGAGAGAAACAAATGAGTATGAGGAGTGGACACTGGAATGAATCAATTATTCAATCAGCAGCGGCAGGCCATACAAGTATTAGTTAACAATGTTACTACCAAGGATTGTCATATCGGCGATATAATATTGTTACACTAAGTCAGAATGCTGGCTTAACATAAATATTATACAAATAATTTTTATTTTTTTTAATCATAACTCAGAGATGCAGATTAGAGTCAAAATACTGACTGACCAGCTTGTTTGGTTCTCTTCAGAACATGGTTGACAAAGCTCTGAGACCTCCTGTAGTAGTCTGCTACGCTCTCCGAGACAGGGATCATGTCAAATTTGATTGAAGATGTGTATGTGGTGTCAATGGCTAGGCCACAGTCCGCCAATTCCTCAGGTGTCATAAAAGTGGGCATGTGTGGCTTGTACCATCCCAACCATTCAAACAGAGCTGGATCTATGCACATCTTTACATGAGATCCATACGCTGTAAACATTTTCATTTTAAAATTATTAGCGCTAAAATAAATAAATAGGAAAAGAAGGGAGGTCATTGAAAAGCTGAGTTTAAAAAAGGGGAGTAATTTTCTAAAATCCCTTCACTGATAAGTTTAAGGTCTCTAAATATCAATATTTAAAGATACAGAGCTTTTTTTGAACCACGTTTAATACAAATTTATCTGTCGTCAATGCATTTATTCCAACCAACCTGTCATAACTGCTTGTGCTGTCTCCACACACCTCAAGGCAGGTGAACAGTAAATGTAGGAAATTGATTCACCCGCCTCTCGCAGGGCTTCACCTTTATACACACATTTAATTATTTCCACTTTTAAAAAAAAATCTATACAGAAAAGTAATATTTTCCAAAAAAATGGTTAAATTACACATAGTTTTAAGCGTTTTTACCGGTTTTGTTTTTTTTTGTGTTTTTTTTATGATATATCCTGCAAGCTTGATTGATGCCTCAAAAGTTCATGAAGTTATAATTGTTAAAGTAAATAAATAATGATCTGTTAAATTGTATGCTATAACACAAGGAATAAAGTCATGATTCTTTAACCTTAATCTTCATAGCTATAATTGGTTTATAATAAAAATGTTTATCTCAAAACTGTTGGGCTTAACGATTTTTCTGTGAATTTATATTGAACTGCTCCAGATCATAGCTTGCCAGTGGGCCACATAAAACCCAGGTAGATACTGTGCATCAGCGGCTGCCGTTAACGCTAGTGGGGCCCATTTTCAAAAAATGAGTCATGAAAACGATTTGCGGACCTGATAAATATAAAAGCCAGACCTGTTATGCGTGCTTGTTCTTTCCCCATGACAGTCAGGGGACAGTCTTTGTTGAAATCATTGTAGTTCGTCCTGGCCACAGTTGACTTGGGACAGTTGAGATTAAATCGAATGTATCTTCCTGTTGCAAAAGAAAACTACTGTCACTCCTGCTTCTCCAATGCAGTTAACATTTAGAATATCAGTATAAGAGATCCAAGGTCAAGAAATTGAATTTTTTTTTTTTTTAAATGTTTACCTTGTGAATCAAAGCTTCTCTCAAACCAGCTTCTAAAGAATGCAAAGTCACATCTCTCTGCATGCCTCAACACAAACAGCTTTCTTGGCTCCTGGCTCTGGGCTTTCGGCAACTTGCTGACTTTTGCATACAGTTCCCTTGTGTCATTCACCTCCTGTGGGCCTGATACCCATAAATTGTCATAGTCCCCAATGTCAGACAAGACTTGGGGCTCAACTGTCCTTTCACCAACATCAATTAGCACATTTCCAGGAGACAATGATGGCAGTGGTACAAACCTGAAAATAGTTTGGATAAGTTGGGAGGATTGGTGTTGAGCAAGGTTTACAGTTTGGGGAGATTAGTGCTGGGCAAGATTTAAAGTTTGAGGAGATTAGTGTTGGGCAAGGTTTACATTTATGGGAGATTAGTGCGGGGCACAGTTTACATTATGGGGCGATAAGGGTTGGGCAAGGTTTACATTATGGGGAGATAAGGGTTGGGCAAGGTTTACATTATGGGGAGATTCGTGTTGATCAAGGTTTAAGTTGTTACATTGATCTAACACACAAACTGAGATTTTTATTTATGGCAAGTTTTCCCTCTTATATTTTTCTCATCTTCATGGAAAAAGTTTATTTTGAATAAATACATTTTTCCGCCAATTCATGATTCAAGGCATATGTTTTTTATACTTCTTCCATTGTATAAAAACACTGGACCAACTAGAAAAATCAGAGATATATTTATTATTTGACCACACCAAACAAGGATCACCTGTGCAATGTCCAAATTTCCATCTGAGAGCATTTGATTGTGAAGTTGCCAGGAAAGAATCCAGAGACACCCATCCTCCAAGAGGTTCCCTTGAACCAACCGTCAGGGCTGCGCTCGTGCTCCTCTGGATCCATGTAAACAAAGTCACCATCTGACAACTCTAGTTCATCCTCTTGCTGGGGCTTGTAGTGCTTTATGATTTTCCTCACCTTTAGAAGAATTTAATGAAAGATTCTCACAAAAATAGTGTCAAATTTTGGCTATTATTTTAATGAAAGCAGGCACCTAAATAAAACTATTTGCCTAAAACTTTTACTATAGTAAATCAGACAAATAAAATTTTGTCCCTGAAAAAATGCAGACTTGACCTAGAATTCCTGATTTTATTTGCAATCATCGGTATAAAAACACAACTGTGGTGATGCAACCTTCAATTCCGCTGAGTTTACATTCTCACTTTATATAAATATTTCATTTGGTTCTTGTTATTTCTTAAACAGCTGATTCTTGTAATTGCTAGAATTTTGATAAGATAGAATAATTTTTACTTAATATTTTTTACACTAACACTTAATTACCAGCAAGGGAAAATGTTCACAATATAGAAATCTTCAGTGAATAAGGTATTTATTTGAGGTCTTAATATCTGAAGGAGAAGACTTCTACCGCAACTTAGTTACAAGCTTTATCAATTGGTGTGATGAAAATTTTCTCCAGATGAATGTCTCAAAAACAAAGGAAATGGTTGTTGATTTCAGGAGGGGAGAACACCAGATTACAGATTTCAACATAAAAAATCAAAGTGTAGAGAAAGTAGAGGTATATAAGTACTTAGATGTCACAATTAATAATAAGCTAACATGGCATGAGCACGGTCAAATGCTGTATAAGAAATTCAACCAAAGTCTGTTCTACCTCAAAAAACAGTACAATTTCGGTGTAAACAAACAAGTCGTTACTTTATTCTACAGTGCAACAATTGGAAGCCTACTTAATTTCAGTATTACCTGCTGATGTGGGAATTTAACGTCTGATATTAAACACAGCATAAACCGACTAATCAAGAAAGCTAGGAACATAACACAAACTAAACATCCTTTACTGGAAGAACTATTTGAAGAAAGATGTTATTTTAAACACATTTTTGATGATACATCCCACCCTCTTCATCACAGATACTTAGGATCCGCCCGTTCGGGACGAATTCTTTCCATCAGGCTGAGGACTGAAGGATATAAAAATTCTTTTGTTACCCAATCTGTACAAATTTACCAGCATGCTCCCCCTAAAGTCACAAATCTTAATGAGAACTAAAAAGTCCCTGATATGGCTAAGAGAACTCACGGAATGGCTGCTAGTGAAAAAATGTATTACAAATGCCTTGTTTCAAATTGTTTTTTATATATGCTGAAAATGTACAATGCAATCATAAAACATTTCCATTTGTTTGGATCAATAAAAGAATCATATCTTATCTTATCTCATATGGTTTTTATTTTAGGTCTTCAGTGAATATGGTTTTAAATAATAAATAACAATTAAGTTTGATTCCATGAATATGAAGCAAAAAATCTAGTGAATTATTGCAACTTGCTTTAAGCAAATTTACCCTTCAACTGATCAAAGTTTAACATGGGCGATACATAAATCCCAATGTCATTTATCCTTCTTCAAAATTAACTCTCACAGTGGACCTGGCAAGGAAATATTTCCTTATGAAGTATCCTAGAGTTACCTCTGCGGTTTTCAATGTTGGGATCCTAGAAAACACTTTAATGTCCCATTTGGTGTAACTTGGGATCACAATATCATGTGCCATTTTCATCAGCACTTCATGGTTAGCAGCATCATACTGGAAGGCCAAGGTCATGTGGAGCTGCTTCATCTGGGGTTTCATCTCAATCCCTGTATGACAAATAAAATAAACTTAAAAATGAGTTGACCGACGATTAGTAACAGAATTTAAAAAGCAACTGATAAACAAAGTAATTGATAAACAAATTAATTGATAAACAAAATAATGGATAATCAAAGTAATTGATAATCAAAGTAATTGAAAAACAAATTATCTACAGTAAAAAGGTAGAGAGGCGACCAATCAGTCCTTAAAGGTTATTGCACCAAGGGTATAAGTTGTAACTGATAATCTTATAAGTTACTGAATCAAGGTCTTTCTGTGATTTGGGGTGGGTAGGGGGAGGGGGTGTTTGGAGAAATGTGTGAGGAATTTTAAAAAATTAAAAGCGATTACGACACATATTACTTATCTTCCAAGGGTCCGGCTTCTTATATATTTAGTTGGTCCCCTTCTTTCCTTTATTAATTTAAAGCTGTTAATAGTGTTAATTCTTTTTTTAAAGTTTATATGGACCAACTTAGTCTAGCTACTTTACCACAAGTACTATCAATTCATCAACCAACTCAAAGCATTAGATTCTAGGTGGAATGGACTTACTAACCCAGCAAGAAAATTATTCTTGGGGAGAAGGTGAAGCCTGAGTGAGAACACAAATCTCAACCACAGTACGTTGTTAGACAGCAGCCTAAGTGGTGCGGGACTAAAAATGAAAAGTTTGTTCAAAAACTAAACTGTTTAGCCAAAAATAAACAGTCTGTGCAAATAACTCTCCAGTTTGGTGTTACAGGTAAAGTTACAGCAGCCAGAATGATTCTGGAATATTAAATTAAAAAATCACCTGCTTTCAGAAACTCATGCTGAACTTTAAACATCAGCTGTTCGATGTACTGGTGGTATGGACTCTTCACAAAGTATCCAATGAAATTCTTGCTTTGCGTAAACAGATCCAGACCCAAAGCACCAAGGGGGGGCCACAGCTGCAGTTCTTGGGTAATTGTAGCAACGATGGAGTCGATGAGCTTTATTTTATTGTTTGGTATCTACAGAAGATTTTTTTTTTTTTAATTTAACTAGTGATAAAAAAATACAGGTATTTAAAAATAATAATCAATGTGAAAGTTTTGCTTAGTTCTTTATGCTAGATGGCATTTTGCTAAAGACAAACTCATTTATCCTAGATAATGTGAGATTATTTATTCAAGACAAAGTTGTCATCTAAGCCAGTGATGCGTGGCACTATTTTTAAACCCAAGTCTCTGATATTGCCACAGACCTGTTTACCCTCAAACTCTTAAAATCGTACAATATCATCACAAAAGCTTTCAATACATTATCTTAATAGTAAAACAATAAACATACAGTATATATAATGTATACACCTCAAAATCGTACATTCTACGCCAAAATCGTAAGAGTAAACAGGTCTGTTGCCATATAATGTTCTGGATTTTTATGGGGCACCAACAACACTGACCTTGAAGAATGAACAAAGGGTTATATGTGGTTGATAGATGTGAGCAGAGTTCCATCCTAAGACCTGCAATGTGTTATCCCAAAATATCTTTAGTTGATTCAAAAATTCTCCTGTTGGGGTCAAGTATAAAATATACTCTTGTGGTTCATGGTTATCCAGATCTGGGTCATTGACGTGACTCAGAAGCCTAATTCATGAAAATTATAAAATATGTTGCCACATTAGTGGATTCATTTAAAAGGAAGAGAACATATGCTTTATATACATTGCAACACTAGCCTTAAAAGAATAACAAATTAATCCTTTACAAATATGTTTCTTTAATGAACTTGCATAAAATTCAATTATTATCTTTCATTCTGCAACACTGCTAGACTTGCATTTCTATACTCTTAAATATTCAGTGGTTGAACAGAGGCAACCTCAGGTCCCCATGCAATTTCCCATACAGATTGTTTGTTGAAAACCTGAACCATCTTCAAGTTATCTCATGAAGCAACAGAGCTGTAGTAAATGTTTCGCTTGACATCTTGCATAACCAAAATTGCATTCATCAACACTTTTTTTATATCTTTTAATTATTGCACCAAAGTGGCAGCTGGTCAGAAATGTTGATGACGTGTTCAAAAATGTGTTTGGTTGTCTATTGTCATATGTAATGGCTATGCCAGTTGTATCATGGTCACATGATTAAAATCATGACTTTCTGGGTTGTTGGTAATAAAAGTCAAAATTTGATTGTCTGGGGTGTAAGCCTTCCCACTCTTCACCACATATGGAAAAAATGTGTCTTTTATGTTATTGTAAGAGATTCTTTTATCATTTCAGTTTAAATTTGAATCCCTTTTAAGTAAGACTGTCCAAGATTTTCAGTTTATTTTAGTTTGGATTCCTTTTTAGTGAGTCAATCCAGCTCTTCATCACATAGTATACTTGAGTGCCATTTCAATTATAGTATTGAATATTTTTAGAGTTATTGGCTAGGCTGTCAGTAATTACATGATAAAATTATGATGTTTTTTTCTATTTTTCCTTGACTTATAATGGAAATAAGAGTTGTCTCAGATAATAAATTTAAAGTAATCAAAGTGGATTGGAGTTATTATTATTATAATTAAATATTATTAAAATTAAAGAACACTTTTAACCTACCAGTCTGAAGCCTCTTGTATTCCCTTATTGCCAGTAACCGCTATTGCCTTTTCACTGAAAAATATATATTTTATCTTTTATAATGATTCTGAGCAGTCAACAAACAAAATCACAATATTTTGCAATGATGCTAGATCCAGTTTAAAAAAAATGATGCCCCCCTCCCCAAGAATTTCATTAATTATTATATTAATAAATGATATTTGGTATAAATTATTATAAATAGTTAAAATTAAGCAAGGGTTACATTTGAATATATAAATTAAAGATAATTTACTATTTCAAAGCCAGCCTCATTGGTGGCTGTCTCTTTCACATGGCCTTTGTTACAACAGTATCATGAGTATCTGGGCTTACGACTTTTATTTTTATAAATTTTATAAAATAGAAGAAGTTATGCTATGACTATGATTCATGATCTGCTATGTGTCTGGCCTGGCACTCACTCTGTGCTTAGGCTATCATGACTAAGCTTAGGCTTAGTAAGTGAATTTTTATCAAATTATAATTAACAGTAGCTTCAAAACCCATAATAAACACCTAATATTTAACAACTTCCATATTCCATTTTACTTACGCCCGCTCTTTAGGAAACCCCATGTGTTGAAGGGTTTCTAGCAGCGATCTCTCTTTATAAGAGGAACATGAGCTCCGTGATCTACTCCGGGGAGGGATCGCAGCCATGATTCGATGTAATTTGTGTGCTAAAATTAAAATTGTATCTGTAAATCTCAGAAAGTCTAGCAGAAGTTAACGTAAAACGGATAGTAACTAAACACATAGCCGATCACAATCAAATCTTGATGCGGAAGTAAGAAGATGAATGTTTAGTTAAGTCCAGTTTCCAATTTGTTTACTTCCTGTAAACTTTTGTAACTTCTCAATTATTTTAGTTTCCGTGACACACCCACCTCAAGGGCTATGATAATGTCATAAAATGTATTTACTGGCCCCCTTTGCCCTTTAACTATTATCAGGTGGAGAGACTTGTTTAAAAAAAAAAAAATCATTGTTTTGCATATTTAAGAAAGGCTTTTAAATATACTTGATCTAGTTTGGACCAAATTTGGTACTGCGGAGGAACTTGCACTATTAGGCTAGGTCTATCACTAACTTTGGGAAAAGGGGAGGGGGGATGTTTACCTATCTATTCTATTGCATTTTATGCAAACTGCAGAGTTTTATCGTGGGGTGGAAAAAATCTTAGCGCACCTCAGGCGGTACTGACCCTAACTACGCCACTGATGAGAGTGGGTGTTAAAAACAGGAAGAAAATTTGTTACCGGTACATGAAATTAACGATTGCGGTCAGTGTTGCCATGGCATCTTCAATGATCTTGTGCAGATTTAACATTCATATCTGACTTTCCGGTTTGTAGGCTATGCGTATTTTAATCAAGTTATTGTAAGATGCTGGAAGCTGCTATACCCTTTGGCTTCCTCTTTTTAATCGTATGAATATTTATTTTTAAATATACATGAAAATTCTTAATATAAAATATCAGTAGTCTAGTAGTCAAGATTACAAATTGTCCCTCAGATGAACACAATTTAATTTTTCTGTAATAAGAAACTCAATCTCTTGCAAAAGATTAAATATTATATAAGGAAAACAGAAGACGGCATCTATGCATGTCTAGAGTTTACAATGCCTTAATCTCTGATAGTAATAAACTTGTAGATGTGTCATAATTTTGTCAGAAGTCCCTCCGTATTCTGTCAAATGTCTCATCCAGGGTTTCTTTCAGCTATCTCTCCGGGGCAAAAATATGTCCAACAATAAATCAACTGGAACTGCTGGCACTGTCCCCCCCCCCCAAAAAAAAAAAAACCCCCGCCCCCCCCCCCCCCCCTTCCGAAAATCTGAAGTGCCCCCCCGGGAAAATTTCTGAAACAAACACTGGTCTCATCTTTATCCAAAATTGGACCAAACCAATGATATTAAATTCCCTGACATCTAATTCACTATTCTTTCCAACCAGTTCTCTAATGAATGTGTAGTCCCTTATTTAATATAAGTTTTCATATTGAAACCATCGTCTCTATCTGGCCGGGTTCAAAGCCATTTTGGGCCCTGGATACATCAAATATAGTGACCCGTATCTATCGCTGCCCTCTCCATAGATATCGACTAAGTTGTGACTAAACTACTTGATCTTGATTAAGGAGAATTTCCAAAGTAACTTCAGTATTCATCAGGGAAAGTAACTACGTAAAAGTTTTCTTGTATTCTTAATATGTCACCGACTATGAAGTCGTTTATAGAAACCATTTACTATCCAATTATCTTTGCAAAGATTCGCTGCTATATAATGAAAAGCAAAATTGAGTTCATTATATTTTGGTAATTATAATTATTGGATTTTTTACCTTTCCAATTTCCAGTGCATCCTTAAAGCTCAAGTTGTCGAGAAGCGTCTCTTTTAAAATAAATTCAGGTGTGATGGCATTCATAGCCACAAATATGCAATATATAGGAGTGGAATACGGTGCAGTACAGGTTGAAATAGTCGAGGTTCAACATGATATGAAATTATGAATGAAATGCAAATTAAATTTTGAGCAGCATATGTTTCTTTATGGGAATTTCGACATCGACCTATGACCTGTAACGAAAGTTTGTCTTAAAAAAAAAAAAGAATTGACGATGTTTGAAATCACCTGTATCTGTGAAGCTGTATTTTCTGCAACATCACATACCGGTACACAAAATTTATATAGACCCTAATGCTTATTTATAACCCGAAGGAGCCGCTAGGGCGATCATTCCCTTCACACCCCTAGGTACGCTACTAACTCTTGGACTGTGAGCATTATTAGGAATTTAATGGGGGGGCACTTTTTCTTTAAATTGCGACACATCATCACATATACTTAGGATCGGGCCGTTCGGGACGAATTCTTTCCATCAGGGCGAGGACTGACATATATAAAAACTCTTTTATTCCCCAATCTGTACGAATTTACCGGCGTGCTTCCCCTGAAGTCACACATCTTAATGAGAACTAATAAGTCCCCGATTTTGCTTAGACAACTCACTGAATGGCTGTTTGAGATAATTTATTATAAATGTCTTGCGTTCAAATTGTTTTATTTTTGTGCCGAAAATGTATAATGCCATCAAAAAACATTTCCATTTATTTGGATCAATAAAAGAATCTTATCTATTTTAGGACAACTGCAAATTTCGTGACCAATGGGTAGCTAAAATATTGGCCCCACCAATGAAAAAAAAAAGTGTGTGTGTGGTTGGGGGGGGGGGGAGCACTAACCCTAATTATGCCCAAGCTCGTGAATATAGAAATAGAAAACGGATTTGTTACCAAATAGGTCCGGGCTGTAATGTTGTTGTTTTTTTTTAAAGATCAATAAAAGAATCTTATCTATTTTAGGACAACTGCAAATTTCGTGACCAATGGGTAGCTAAAATATTGGCCCCACCAATGAAAAAAAAAAGTGTGTGTGTGGTTGGGGGGGGGGGAGCACTAACCCTAATTATGCCCAAGCTCGTGAATATAGAAATAGAAAACGGATTTGTTACCAAATAGGTCCGGGCTGTAATGTTGTTGTTTTTTTTTAAATAACTAATTAAAAACCTTCATTCTTTTTCTGATTTTGAACATCAAATATGTTAACTCTTAAGTCTATAATTATAATTGCAGTAAAAAATGAAACGTAATATTCTTTACGACAGGATGAAGAGCTTTTTCTTTTTCTCCCCTAATTGGGGCTGATGGTGGGCATTAACATGTGTGATCAAGCGGGGCGTGGGAAACGAAAAAAAAAAAGTTGGGAAGCACTGCCGAAGGTGTGTTAAAATGTGTCGTCGTCGTCCCCCCCCCCCCCAAACACAATTTTTTTTTCGCCAGTGCAGCTGTTCCGATACGATAAAGGAAATACAAATGCGGATAGTTCTGTGCATAATAAATTCTAATAAAGTTGTTGTTTTAGTTTATTGTACTATTTCAACCATCTGCCTTACGAAGGTTTTCTGTGACTCGTGAAGTCAAAAAGTTTGGGCAGCACTGACTTTGGAATATATCCGCTCATTTTTTGTCATTCAGAGCACACATTATTTAAAATCGTTTTACCACCAAATAGCAGAATAAGATATGTTTAGCCCTGAAAAGAAAATACAGGACAATACCGATATCAAGGAGGTTTCGGCAAAACGCCTTCTTCAGCAGACAAGACAAAACAAGAAACAAAAAATAATTGTAAGTCAAAAACGTATGTGTTCGAGGCTATCAATGTCACTCTTTGTTTTGAAACGAAGGCGTTCTCTCGTTCTACTATTTCTTTACTTCACGCGGCTTGAACCCAGTCCCTCATCAATTATCTGCTATCTACCAGCAATGCGCATCTGAAGACAAATCCGTTTAGAAATTTTAGTTCCCCTTCTCTGCGCATCATGACATTACGCGTAGGCTGTCACAGAACTGACATCACATTAAATTTGACATTTTTCTCGCTCCCCTGGAAGCCTATTACGGATAACTGTGATTATTTCTATAAATAGCCTTTGCTTTTTAAATGAAACCAGTTTATGTAGTCACTATGCATGAAATGTATTAGAGTATAAACTTTTGATGAATCAAAGTAAAAGATCTGAATAGTGTGGGGAGTTTCGAAAAGCACAATTAAAAAATCAACTGTAATTAACTACTCTAAGCACATGCAATGCCCCAAATACGGCTTTAGATTAAATAGGCTTGAATAACTTATAAGAGTTGGGTCTTCCATTTACTCAACGTTTATCTCTGAGATACCGTATAGCAGTGCTGTCCAACCCGCGGCGCATGCGGCCCTCAAGATGAATTTAAGTGGCCAGCAACAGCTTAATTAAGACATTTGTATGATGTTTGTAAAAAATAAAATAAAAATGTTTGGGTTAAAATATGTTCAAACCACATTCATTGTGCTATAAATAGTATTGTTGGGCAATCACGTGAGAGCACAAGAGAAGTTGTAACACGGAAAAGAAGGTGTGGGGGGGGGGATCAAAAGCTAAGGAGTGGTATTGCTGGACATTTAGCAGCAATTTATGTTTAAGCACATGAGGAGAGCAACAATTTGGGTACCTGGGAGACATAAAATAGGATACTATCTTCTCCTTCATTCTGTTGCTTGTACAAGGGAGGGGGGGGGGGGCGGGCGTCGCTGGGTGTTGGGTATATATATCAGGGTTAGGTATATATATCGGTGTTGGGGAAGATGAAGGGGTAAAACAAAAAGGAAACTTGGTGTGTAGCTATTTGGACATAAAATAGGATACTATCTTCTCCTTCATTCTGTTGCTTGTACAAGGGAGGGGGGGGGGGCGGGCGTCGCTGGGTGTTGGGTATATATATCAGTGTTAGGTATATATATCGGTGTTGAGGAAGATGAATGGGTAAAACCAAAAGGTAACTTGGTGTGTAGCTATTTGGTCATGTTATAATTGCCCGCGCCCCCACGAACGGACCACGTTAGATGACCTAGATTGGTGAGCACAGCGAGATAACTTATACTGCCAGGAAAGTCTTCGGGTTAGAGTAATCGAGATGGGAGCTGGGGTAGTAAAGGTGTCACACTTGAATGACTACGGTGGGCAGTGAACCGTTTAAGGTACCACAATTATTTCAACAGGTTCGTGTAGCCGGGTATGGGATAATGTGTGTCCATCGTCAATTGCTGCGACTTTGGGGACAAGTAGTTGGTATTCAGATTACGTGACGTTAAAAGAGTAGAAAGCAGGGTACATGCTGTGTTTGTTTTTAGTCAGTGCAATTCAGTGAGGGGGGGAATTGTGAGAGTCGGTAGGAACGATTCTTGAAAGTACTTTTGTTATAAACAAACATACGAATCCGTGGCCAAATACATTGGCGTTTGGCGTAGCTATAAGGGTTGGTGTTATGGTAAACAAAAAAAATAAATAATTAAGAGACATCTCCTTGATATTCTGACATATCTCTGAGATTAGGACTTACTTTAACAAGAAGAAATCCATCGTGGAAGTCGGAGGAGGGGGTAACACCATGCGTTTACCGCACCGAGTGACATCAACCCTAGCTACGCCACTGTACAGAACTATTATGATTTCCTTCCTGGTTTGTTTGATTTAGGGATTTTAATCAAAATGAAAACATTTAACATTATTTACACAAACTTGCTAGTAATTTTATCATAAATAATTGTTATTTCGGACAACTTTGTTGATCTCCCCCCCCCCCCCTTTTTTTTTATTTTTACAATATTGGTGGTATTTTAACATGACCTAAATTACAAGATCTGTTAAACGAAGTCCTTTCCCAGCCATCAAAAAATGAAAACATTTAACATTATTTACACAAACTTGCTTGTAATTTTATCATAAATAATTTTTATTTCGGACAACTTTGTTGATCTCCCCCCCCCCCTTTTTTTTTATTTTTACAATATTGGTGGTATTTTAACATGACCTAAATTACAAGATCTGTTAAACGAAGTCCTTTCCCAGCCATCAATGTTCTTATTAGGTGGTCCATACTTTGTAAAATACGGCGATTTGTTCCCCCCTTTATTTAAAGTTCACTTATTTCCCTCGCTGTCTAGTAGACTTTACAGTAACCCACCCTACTCCGTTGATGAATTCAGATTTCATTACGTGGAAAAGCTTAGGAAAGGGGCGGAGAAATGGCTCATTATTATTTTTAATCAGGGCGGCATTTTCGCCTTACTGCTGGTCTTTTACTGAGGGGCAGATGTGGGAAGAACAGTCGCACTAATCCTACCCCACTTGCTAGAAATCTATTTTTCTTGTCATAATATTCTAATAATTTTTGGCAAAATTAAGGCCACTTTAAAAATGTTATGTATATTGATTTTTCGGAGATCCATAAATGGGATTAGCGAGATTTCCGCATTAACAGAACAGTTTTCTCCAATCATAAAAATTAATTATTTGAGATACTTAAGAATAAGGATGCTATAATGGTTATAGCATCCGTAATATTAATTAACTTCCAACACCTTATTTTTAAAACTTTTAAATGAAAACAAATTGATAAATATAAAATCACAAAAAATGACAGAACTTAAACTTACTAATATTATTTGATTATTTGGTAATTAGAATCATAGATTATTCAATGTATCAAATTAGAATTACAGATTACGAACAACTCAATATAACACAGTATATTTATTTGTAACATCTACTTTAAGGAGCCTATGTCTATGTGTCAAAACATTTTTGGAAATTTTGTACCCCACTCCAAAAGGGCAGCAAAAGAATTCTGAAATTACTCCACAGCTAATTGCTCCCCCACCCCATTTTTTCCCCTCAATAGTTTGTTTTCTATAGCTCCTTCCCAACCTTCTAACAATGCTTCACATTAAATGTAAATGCATGAGAACTAGCTCATGCTATTTTTATAAAAATAAATCAAGTATATTTGCGTCCCTTTAATTTAAAAAAAAAAAACACAAAAAACTGGAACTAAAATTTCTTTTAAAACCTCCGGGGAAATTATTGTCATGATGCCAATTTTAACTCGATTAACATTGCCAGAAGAAATCTCCTCATTTATTAAAAGTTTTCATTGGCAACATACGTTTTTCTTTAGAAAAGGCAGGTTCCAGTAATGATTACAAAATCGAATAACAATAAAAAAAAAAAAGTGTACAAAGGTCAGATTACTCTTAGTAATTAGTCTTACTTAACTTCCTAAATAACTAGGAAAATCCCATGTAGTGCTACAGAAAGACCATTTAAAATTTTTCATTTTATTTTATTGTTTGTCTTTATTGTTATGCCTATTTGGGAGAAAATTTTGGGTACTTTACTGGCATGTAAGTCTGTTTACTAAGTAAGTAGTATTCGTTAGAAGATAATTAGACGTATAAATATAGGCCTAGCCTAGTAGTTAGTTCTAGTTAGTTAGTTAAGTTAAGTAGTAAGAGTTAAGAATGTACTTAGTCTTTCTGAGTCTTAGGACTTAGGCCTATGCCTATGGTGTAGCATACTATTAATATTAATTTAATACAACAAAAAAAACATTATTAGCCCTTTTTAAAACTATTAATTACAAAGGTTATTGCTCGTTTATTATTATTACACTAAGTTCACTAAGTAAAGTTAAGTTAGTTTATTCATCATCAAAGTCAAAACGAATTGTTATTATAATAAATAATATTATATTTGAATTTGATACCCCATGTCTATATATTATCTAGTCTATATTATTATTCAAATTGACATACTTTTTAAATTAAAGTTTAATTTTAATTACTTTTTATTATTATTATTTATTATATTTGTATAATTATATACCTAGGTTTATTCCTACATTTAAGAATATAATCAGATTCACTATAACATCTCTCTGGTCTTGTTGGATATCAACGTTACAATTCATATAGAACTGCAAAAAATAAATTAGAAAAATCTTATTCTTGTCTTATATAGGTTGATAGCAATTATACTCTAATTAATATCATATGCTATAATATTAGATTTAGAGGCAATATGGTAATAAAAAACAAATTGCTACAGAAGCATCAACAAGAAAAAACCAATACAAACAAATAGATAGCATCAATTAAATTGCATAAATAATTTATATTTAAATTTACCAAGACATAGTCAGTATATGCATTATTACTAAAGATGTGTTATTTTTTAATATTAGGCCTTCAGTTTTTGTCTAAAAGTTGCTAAAATTCTACAATACACATTTCATATTGCCAACCAAGGAAAAATAACTTGCAGCAGTCAGAAGAGGTAGGCCATCTGGCCACAAAACATGTTACAAACATGCTATGATTATGCAAATTGCTGTTATTGACCAGGAAAAACTTACTGCTGTTAGAAATAAAAAAGTTAAAAAATAATAAAAACATAAGATGGTTTTGGCCACCTAAGTGGCTGCCCCAATTTCTAAAGTTTGTAATAAATGGTGAAAAAGGTCTGGTATAAATAACACTGTATGTAATATCACTGTTTATAATATCAAATAATAAAAAAATTTAGGCCTATGCATCTGACCAAGATGTTTTTGCTATTTGCAAATTCTGACCTTATCTTCTATTTGAATTTCTTGAGTATACCATGCAATGTTTAAATTATCGGCATATAAGACGACTTTTAACCTATGAAAATATTTTCAAAAGATGGGGTTGTCTTATACACCAGGGGTCGTCTTATAAGCTGGTATCTGGCGTGCTGAAACTAATAAAAACAACAGGACATGAGAAGTTCAGTTTTACAGTGGTACTAGCCTGCACAGTTGAAGGTGCCAAACTGAGACCAATGATTATTTTTAAAGGAAAACAATGCTGAAACTCAAGTTACCTGTTGGTTGTTTTGTACATGTAATGAAAAAGGCTGGATTGATGAAGGAGTAAAGCTTTGGATTGATAATGTATGGAGCTGGCGACCAGGTGAACTTATTCAAAAATGTAGTCTATTGGTGTGGGATATGTTCAGGGCTCATTTAACGCCCAGCACCAAGCAAAGGCTGGCTAGAACAAATACAGATGCGGCAGTTATTCCTGCAGGATTGACATTGTCGGTACAGCCACTGGATGTGTACCTAACCAATTATTTAAAGATCACATTCGAGAACAGTGGAATGAGTGGATGGTTAGCGGCAAATAGTCATTCACCAAAGGAGGAAACATGCATGCTCCACAGTTTGATGTTTTGTGCAAGTTTGTCATAAAAGTCTGGAATGATATTGATGCAGAAACAGTAATCAAGTCTTTCAAGAAGTGTGGCATATCAATTTCATTAGATGATATGGAGGACAACTACTTGAGGCAAGATGAAGAGGAAGCGGCAGCTGAGACCACACCATCTGATACAGAACTAGATCCTATGATGACTGCCTTAAAAATGTATCACAATTTGTCATCATTGATGTACTAATGATATCAGATGATGAGCAGGAGGGTTTTGAAGACTGACTCGCCTGGGATTTGCCCAGCCCTTGCTCTCTCTCTCTCTCTCTCTATTGTTTGTTATCATCCTCCTATCATCATCAGTTCCAGTTTTGTTGACAGCTTAGAAAGCAAACAGCATGGCAGCTCAATGGGTTTATTGTCTTATCCTTCCTTTCAGCTTTAGAGTGAATTAGGAAAAGTTTGATCCACTTGCACTGTTTTATGTTCACATGCTTGATGACAAACAGCCTTATGTTTTTAAGTGACAGTTTTCCTGCTAAGTGCCTGCATGTCATCAGCATTTGAATTAAAATTACCATATTGAAATCAAATTTGATATTTTAACATTTTTATTTGGTGTGCATTAGAAGAGGGCTAGTCTTTTAATAGGAAAAGTAGGGGGTTGTCTTATACGCCAGAAAATACTGTATTTAATTTACTATTTTTTAAAAAAAGCTTATGGAGCTTTTATATCTATAGGACTATCTTCTTCAACAGAGAAAAATTCAGATGTGTCTTAATAAAGCTGCAAATATACAGGGCTATTGGTAATGCACTTTCTAACTATCTGAAGTTTCAACATCACTCTCCTGGGCTGCTGATCTCTTTTGGTGTTTTATGGCCATTGGATTGACAAGTGAGTCAACAAAATACTAATTTTGATTTAATCGCATGTGAAAACAAATATTAAAATGGTTTGATGGGCAGTTCTTCTGACCACCCGTGGCTTTGACTATGTTATAAATCAGGGGTGGGCAAACTTTTTGTGCGTAGGGCCATATTGACAAATGTAAATCTATTGGGCGGACGGAGGGCCACATTGACAAATGTAAATCTATTGGGGGGCCAGAGGGTCACATAGACAAATGTAAAGCTACTGGGGGGCCGTAGGGCCACATTGACAAATTTAAATCTATTGGGGGGCCGTATGTATATTATGTCCAATTTTTACATGTTGATAAAAATTTCTTTCTATTAAAATAGGTAAATTCGCATTTTAGCATTGCATGACAAAATTCAAGGACTTTTAAAAAAAAAGAAAATTAGAAAGAAATTTGATCAAAAATGTTAAATCAACATAATGGTGTATGAAATTCTGTAAAATTCAACAAAATAACGTAAAAACAAAGTAATTTTTTTATATTGTTAAATGCCTTCGACGGCCGCATAATATCAGTTGTCGGGCCGGCCCCTGGGCCATAGTTTGCCCACCCCTGTTATATATGGTATCGAAAGTATATTGATCAAAGCATGTCTTTTGCATAACTCATGCTATTGGTGACAAAAAGCAGTTAGTCCGATTTCATCAATGTCATTGTAATTTATTTAGCTATATTTTTATTTTACGATTTCCCTGTATAAATGTCAGCCCTATTGTGAAAAATCTGTTGTATACATATATACACATAGGTAGAAAGTAAGCTAGATCTATGATTATGATGTCTGTTTGTTTAATTTATTTTCTGAATGTAATAAAATTTATTGTTTTTTTGTTTTAGGAAATATAATGGCCACTAAGAAGCAGCAGACAAATATTCATAACCGATTTCCCAAAACAACTAATATTCTTGCAAAAGAAGAAAATGGAAATAGCTTTTCCAGAAGACTGTTTGTGATGCGACATGGGGAGCGCTGTGATTTCACTTTTGGGAAGACTTGGATGAGAAAATGTTTTGATGAAGATGGTATTTTTATAAAAATCACATATTTTTTTATTACCTATTAGAGGTGGAGCTCATACCTAGACATTATCTCTTAGATAAGGCAAAGCCTTAGAGCGGGGTATACAAACTTTGACCATGTCCCAGTATATATATGCACACAATTAATAAAATTTACAAGAAAAACATGAGGGGTGGTCAATAGTCAATACACACAAATCAAGAAATATATTAGTTGTAAGAATCTCCTACCACAATAGTAGCAATTAAAGAAGGCTGACTGCACTGGAGGGCAAACCCCAAAAGAATGCTGGATTGCATAGACGTAAAGGTAGGGTTCAGACAAAAACCAAAGAACAGAAGACTCATTGTTAGACCAAGACTGAGGTGGACTGATTTTGCTGAGACAGGTTCTGGATCAGGGGCCATACATGTATAGAAGAGAAACAACATGGATCAATTTGATTGGAAGGATGTGGTGGTGCAAGCTAGTCCCTCCTTAGGCTTTAGTGCTATTGTTGAAAATTAAAGTAACACTTGTTTACCTGGGCAAACATTGTATGCTAATGCCTTTTTTTTATATTGATGTTGAATTCATGGCTTACCTTAAAAAATCAATTAAAATGATAGATAATGACCTTTCTTGCTGACTTTTATATTTTAACTTAAAGGATTTAAGAAAATAATTATGAGATTGTCACTCTAATTTGTGATGAAAAATAGAAAAAAAACATATTTAGCTGATAGATCTCATACATAAAAAAATAAAATTTCTCCCATTATTTAAAATTTGTGAAAAATATAATATGAATTCCCTAAAATTTGTGCAATCAAGATTTGGCATGTTAGGACTGCACCATTAAAATGACTGTCCAATCTTGTTCAAGGACATCACAAAAAACATTTAAGCTTGCCCCACCTCCCCAGCAGCTCTTTTGAGGTTTATATATAAAATTATATTAATGATGTCTCTGAGGGTATAAGGGGCACACTTTTAGGAGTCTTTCTGCCATCGTTTAGACAAGGTATGTTCCTAATTTCTAAAGTTATTTCAGGTATTTATAAACAAACAGACCTCAACCTGCCAAAAACAATGATTAAAAGACAGCCTATTACTGACTATTCCAAAGATTCACCTCTCACAGAACTTGGCATGTTTCAAGCCAGAGCCACTGGTAAACAGAAATATTTGAATGCTTTTTTTTTTTAATTACATGCAGTCTGCCCCGGTTTTTTTTGTTTGTTTTTTTTTTGTACAGACCCACTATAAGCAATATTTGAATTGATGTTAAGAGTTAGGAGAGCATAGACAACATTATGTCTACTCATATTTTTTAAATCTCTGAAAAGCATTAGTGGTTTTGATTTTCAGGTGATGCATTCAGGAAAGCTGATGTGGATATAAAAAATATTTATGTTTCTCCTTCACTTAGATGTGTTCAAACTGCACAAAATGTCATTGAAGGTGAGTAGAAGGGATTGGAAAAATTAATTGTTATTTGTTTATTTGTATATATTCCTCATTCTTTTCTCCATTAATGCAAATCACAATCAATATATAAAAGTAAACATCATTGGGGATTCGAGCATGGAGACAGAAAGCCATGGACCGCTCCGAGTGGAAGGATGTGGTGGAGCAGGCCAGGGCCCTACATGGGCTGTAGTGCCACTGATGATGATGAAACATCATTATCATTTAGGGTTGAATTACTTTTTAATTTTATTTTTGAAAGTACACAATAGCAGGTCTTTTTTTTTTTTCCAAAAGAGAGCTTCTAAAGCAGTGATGTTAAAAAGAATATGTGAATTTAAAAATTACCATTTCAACAGCTAAAGCAAAATTATGAATAAAATAATTGTTTATTGCAAATTTTTGAAAACATTCCCCTTAAATTTGTCCTTGGTCGAGCATAGACATGTTGTCTTGTAACTGTTTTGCACAGTATGTTGTGTTCTTTTGTGCACGATATGTGAACATTCTTGGTGCCATGAGGCTTGTGGCGTATTTATGATGTGATTTTATGTATGTATGATGTTGTTTCTAGACTGGCATGGAGTACGGGCTATCATTGGCAGTTACACTCTTAGCTGAGAATAGAAAGATTGTATTGTGTTCCTCCTATGTTCTGCATTATATATATGTGTGTGTTTGAAGTATTGTACGACCAGATGATAAATAACTTGGATTAAAGTTTACTCTGTTCTTGGTATAGGACACGTGTTCAGTTTTAATGACCTTACGACATATAAACATGTGAACCAATTTGAAGTGAGAACCTTAATCTCGTCATCCTTCCAAAAGTCTCTTAAGTGCTAGAATTGAAAGCTCTTGTTACAAATAAACCTTTATTTAGGATTTTCTTGATTGTAGTTTTTAATCATTGAATAAAAAAGTGAACTAAGTTAAAAGCCTTTTCATTATTTGGTTTAATTTCAAAACATAAAACATGTAATACTAAATATTAAATGACTTTCATGATATTGCGTAACTTCCATGAAATTATTATAATATTACCATTAAACTGTTGAAGAACATCTGTAATTTCCAGGTCTGGATAACAATGCTAAAATGTGTATAGAACCTTCTGCCTTTGAGTGGTTTGGGTGGTACAAGAATGCCATGCCACATTGGCTGACTGCTGATCAATTGTCAGAGCAAGGATTTAATATAAATGTAAAGCACAAGTAAGTGACATGGTCTGATTACTGTTGAAATGAAAATATATACAACAGCTATTCTGAAGCGTAAGTTGGATTGCCTCCCTTCTCTACGATAGGGCTCAACTTAAAATTCAGGCCATGTAATATCCAGCCACAGCTCACTGTATCTGGGTTGTAGAATAAACCCTTTAATCATTTTCCAGATGTGGATCATAATATGCAAGATAAATTGTGGATAAAAAAATATAAATTATATAGAACGGTTACCATGAACTTTGATTTTTATAGAGAGCTGAAGTCAACACCAATTTCTGCTGCTGTGAAATCCTGGTCGAAGAGATGAATCTTTTATGCTCATAAATATTAATTTAAGAATAATACAAATTTACTATTTACAAATTTTATTTATCTTTTTTTTTAAAAAAATGAATAATGCTCCAAATCAGTAATCTTGGAAATGGGTTAATTGTATTTTTATTTTATTTATTAAAAGGGGGGGGGGGGTGTTGGTTGTTTAAATTGTTGATACATTTTAAAGGTAAAATCGCAGTAATTTTATTGTAAAAGATTTTGATATATTTGAAGGCCTTTTATTTTTAAAAAAATGAATAATGCTCCAAATTAGTAATTTTTGAAATGGGTTAATTGTATTTTTATTTTATTTATTAAAAGGGGGGGGGGGGTGTTGGTTGTATAAATTGTTGATACATTTTAAAGGTAAAATCGCAGTAATTTTATTGTAAAAGATTTTGATATATTTGAAGGCCTTTTGTTCAGATCAAAGATCTACACTTAGATGAGACAGTTACAGACTACTATGAGAGATGTCATCGGCTGGCAGAGCACATTCTTAAAAAGCATGAGGAAGAAGGTAAAGAACTGATTAACTATGTATTTAAGGCTGAGTAACTTAGTTTGGCATTGTTAGTCTTATACAGAAATTACCTTGAAATTATATTCATAATATGTATAAATTTTAAGTTCCCCCATTTAGATCATAGGTTAGTACAGTCCATCTGCTACAGTATGATTTCCTAGCAATATAATTGTATCTACTTTTCTCTGTTTTATTTGTTCTATACATTTCCAATGTGTAGACACTTTCATAACCTGCCAAGGGGTTGATTTTCTCCACCCTTTATCGTACATTTTTATTAGGTTGAAAGTTCCTATGATTATTTTTCATTTTAATATTATTTTAATATCAAGATATATTCTGTTGTGTGTGTGTGGGTTCAAAATAAAAACAACTTTTTAAAAAAAAGTATTTTTTTAGGTGGTGATATTTTGATTGTTGCTCATGCTGGAAGTCTTGATACTTTTACCCGTCAACTCCGTGGACGGAATCCCAGAACTTCTCAGGAAATGCACCACATCCTCGCCAGCTTTACGTACTGTTGCTTATGTTGCTTGGCACAAGATGAAAAGTCAGGGAGTTGGTGCCTCTCAGATCCACCCATTCCTACACTAGGGGAATTTGACTGGAAAGTTCTATTATGATTGCTAGCTCCTTTAGTTCAGATTTTTTTTTTTTACATTATCTCAACACTTTGACAATAATTTTGTTCAACCCTCACTGCAAGGGAAATGTCCATATATAGGAAAACATTAAGTCAATAAGAGCAGTTTTGCTAGAAAGCATTTATGTATTTTGTTCTTTGTAACTTTCTATAACTTGGTCAAATTTAAAGCATCTTAGTGATGGTTGCAGTTTTATGCTAACATTTATTGGTATTGAATATCAAAAACTCAAGATGGGTGAGGTGGGGGGGGGGGGAGTAATTTCCATTCTTTATTTTTTTTTTTTTAAATGCTAACATTTATTGGTATTGAATATCAAAAACTCAAGATGGGTGAGGTGTGGGGGGGGGTGTAATGTCCATTCTTTATTTTTTTATTTTAAAATATCATTTCTAGAATAAAATATTTTCCACAGATTTTAATAAACATGGACTTATAATTGTATTAGAAATGACTTAACCAGAGAATTAAAAAAACAGATTAACTAGTTTGCCTGGAATAAAATAGTTTCTAGCAAAGATTTTGAAATACATGTTTATTTTATTATAGGTTAATTTATTTACAATTTCAGGTGAATTTATTTATAACCTCTATCTGTTTTTCTCCTTGAAGCATTTTTGAAAATTTTTTAGAGGTACAATAACCAAGTTAACAGTAGCACATAATGACAAGAAAATATATTGAGAAAGGTTTTAAACCAGTGCTTGTTATTCATTTAATCTATCACTTAACTTCATTCCGAATAAATTGACAAACTAATATTATGGTATATATATTTTTCTACTGGTATTTATACATCTTAAAACATTCCAATGCTGTTACTGTTGTATTGAACTATTTTAGGTGACTCCATTCTGAATTTCATCTTTCATTATTCAAGAAAATATAATAAAGATTTTATTCATTTTGGAGAAACTTTTAACAGTCAATCATTCTTGCAATCTCATTTCATTGAGCACATTTTAAGCTTGTTCATTAATTTTTAACAGTTCTAAAGTAGACGGCTTGAAATTCGTCCAAATAAAATTTCTTCCTTTTTCCTTGCATATTGTAATATTGTGACCAAAATAGACCATTTGCTCAAGATATCAAAAAATATAATTATATTTTCAATAATTTTTTACCTAAAAATGATAGAAAATGCATGTTTTAATTATTGGAATGAAAGGTAAATAATATTTTCTATTCAGATTAAAATAATCACAGTGGGGTGACTTCAGTTTGAAACTTCCTGAGTCACATTTGCCCTTCATGTTTAAGAGTGAGTTCTATGTTCTTTTTCTTTTTAAACCAAATTTTAAAAATAACAGTTAAAGAGGAGGGGGTAGTTATTATATTTGGATGATGCCTCATAAGGAAAATATTTAGAATTCTTAATATGTACTTTCCTTTTTTTTTAACATGTCAACATTAAGTTTGGCCAGGAATAAACATGAATTTATTTTATCGTCCAAAAATAATATCTAAATATTTGTTAATATGTCATGTTTGCATTTCTTATTACAATTCTGTGATATCAATATTATGCATTGTGATAGCCATCAATCTTTTGGAAATAAATACATTTTTTGTACATATCCTGGTCACAGAAAAAGACTAAATTTGTGTATTGATATTTAACTAATGTTTTTTACAAATCTCAAATAATTAATAAAAAATTTACAAATTGTCTACTTTCAGATTGAAATTTAAGGCCTATACTTTTTCAGTTGTTAGTTTTGAATAGATAATATTATTATTCAATCCAACGTTAATTACAATATTTATTTGGTACTTTTTTTAAAGGCACTCTTACTCTTGGCAGCTAAATCTGACTAACTCTATGGCTGATAAATTTGTAAACAAAAATATAGTTCTGTGGGAAACATATATTTAGGATTTACAACTTATTTCAGCTCATTTTAAACGCTAGTTATTAACGACTCCTTCAACAGAAATTTACCATTCCTTCCATAGTCAGAAAATATTTGATCACTCGGGGGCCTATTGTTAAGAATATTTTATAGATGTTTTTTTTTATTTCAGTTTATATGGCAAATAAATTTGCTAAATAATTTTTAGAAAACAGCAGTTTTGTTTGTTAAAATATTTTTAGACTGATTTTAACGTTACTTTCTATGCTTGTTAAAAAATGAGCACCTCTCTGACAAATTTAAATATTTTTAGTCTTTATTATGCGCATATAAAAATAGCTAAGTTTTGTTGTTATTTATCTCATTTTAAGAGTCACATAGCACAATATTATTTTCCATTTTGCTGTACACTTGCCTACTATGTCACTATTTCTTAGCATAGATGCATAGTAAATAAACCATTTTTGTTAAGCTTTCTTTTTAATATTTTTTAAATGTATATTTAATTTGCTTATAAATTTTTTAGAAGATTTTAACATTTTCCATCAAAATTTAGTCGATTTAGTTGGAGTGGTGTTAGTTTCAGAACAGGAGCCACATGCTCTATCCATTTTGCCCCCCCCCCCCCCTTTTCCCAAAGCCACTAAAAATATGTAGTGTCAAACTTGATTGACCTAATTTGTCAAAATGCCCTTTATAAAATTAATTAGGCCATGCAAACAAACACTTTGCTGTGTAGAGGAGCTCAATTTTACTGAATGGATATCAGTAGAGATGCTTTTTAATACAAAGGGCATCCTTAGCAATATTTTTCACACATTCTAAGCTCACAGGAGCTCATTATGATTAATGCTTTGGAGTCTATTTAAGTCGCCCTGCTATGCAGAAGTAATTAGTAGTTTCCTTTAAAAATGCAATTCACAGAATCATGTGTGGCAGGGTGCTAACATTTTGTATCATTTCTCTCTTTCAACAAAAATAATTAAAGTGAGCTTGGTTAATTGCATTGTTATTGTCACAATACCAATTCAATTATAACCATTACATTATACAAAATCAGTGTAACATTTTGATGCATTTGCTCAAGTTAAAAAAAACTGTATTTGGCTTTTATAAAATTATTTAATTTGAGATTGATTAATTCACTCAATTGTTCTATTAACATTATTTGCATTATTAATGAGGTTGGGTTGTTTGTTTTTTTTCAGATTGTGATATCAAATCAACTTTAATCATTACTTTAATATCTGATTGATAACTTTAAAAAAAAATAAAATACAATAATTAATTTAAGTTATGCTTTTACTTGAAACAAAACACTGAAATCATATATCTTGTCATTGCCATTGTTTTGAACATATGCAGTTCATTTTTCAATAACTCAATACAGCATACGTTTCCCAACTTTATTTTACTCTTATCCCATTTTAAACAATTAATCTTGGCATCCCCCTTATTTCATATAAATAAACTTCAATCTTTATGGGACCTAATTTCATCTACTAATACTACGTGCTTTCTAGTTTGGAAACCACCCCTGTGAAATGTCATCATTTATTTTAGTTAACATATAAACTTTTTGAAAAATTAAAAAATCGCTTCATCGAATAAAGGAAACAAGACCCACATGTTACTTGTCTCTGTTTATGTTGATTCATACCTACAATCAGGAAAATATAAACTAAATCAGGCATCCATTAGTGAGCTCATTATTAGATCCATTGTACTGTGGGTGAAAAACTGATAGATGCCAGAAACAGAAATTTTTAAGTCAGGACTTGGCATCTTTTTAATCAAAATAATTATGTAGAAAAAAAAACAGTAGCCTAGTCCAGTGTTTCCCAAAGTGGTGTCCATGGACCCTCATAGGTCCATGAGCCTCTTTATTTATTGTTCGTCCATCGAGGATCGACGAGGACCATCGAGTCGTCTGGTGATGACTTTGTTTAAAGTGAAGAAGAGTTGCGCGGCGTCTACCTCACTCTCTCGTCCGAGCCCACCATATCCAGTGGCAAGACGACCAGGGATGGGTTCGGTTGCAGGAATTGTCATTGTTTGCGCCTTACGGGACTCCAACTCCGGGTTTGAATTCAGAGTTTCCTTCTCTTAGATGAGTTGCCGACCAAGGTTAACGAGTCTCATCCACCCGGGGTGATGTTTTTGCTTGACTGGCCTTTGGCTGGACTTGAACACCAGAACACCAACTTGAGGTTTGCTCAGTTTAGACCATTTGGCCACCCAGTCACCCATGAGCCTCTATGTTGCTGTCTGCACAACATAAATATATGTGGTTAAATAAAAAATAACTGACATTCTTTCAAATCCTGGAACATTACTTCAAAACGTTCCACTGTTTGGGAAACACTGGACTAGACCATGTTAAAATAAAGGCTAGTTATGTAGAAATAATTTTAAAAAGGTGTTTATTTTGTTTCCTTTATAAATAAAGCTAAAATGATCTTTTTATCAGGCATTAGATCAATAAAATTAACATTCACCTTTAACTTAAATCAGTTATTACTGAAAACCATTATTGATTTTATTAGCCTTCATAGAAATGTATATTTTTTACCAGGCAAATTACTGTGTGCTTATTTGTAAGCTGGTAAACTGCAGACATGGTAGATGGGTACCTAACTTCAAAAGAATGAATTTGAAATAAGAAAAAATTATAATTATCTGCTTTTTTTTTTAATTTATAGTTTTTTTCACTTCAAAAATTATAAGATTACCTTTTATTTCATTTGAGAAGAAAGAAAAACAAAATTCAATAAATATTTTAAAATTATTTAACATTCTTAATTATAACTTAAACTTTAATGAAGACATTCTTCAAATATTCAATTCAGTTTGGAACATAAAAACAGCAGACAAAATAATATAACACAAATCATTAGATGTTCAAAAATTTTTAATAATTCATATTGATAACAATTCAAAAAAATTCTTGTGTCATAATTCATCTCACATTAATTCTTTAATCGTTCTTATTCAATGTCAAAATATGTAACTAACGATCACATTAGAAGAAAAAATTCTTGGTAACTACATGTGCAAAGATTTGTAAGATTGCAGATTACTGTAGTGAGATTTCGATAATAAGCATTCATTCTTTCTTTTATTTAAGCAGTTTTATGACACCTCACTATAACTTTAATTACAAAGAAATAAATATTACCTAAATATACCAGAATGAACTATTACAAGATTCCAAAGGTATATCTACATATGAAAATATGCAGATTTTTAAACTGTGCATCGAAATAATGATTAAGCACACTGAACTGAACACAATGTTTCAAATCTAATGTTTAAAAAAAACTTGTTTAAAGGACAAGCGATCTGTTTTCAAGGCATGAATATTCCTAGGTATTAACAGCTAGAAAATATAATACATCTTTCAAAATATAATGAAACCTATTCCCATGTTATATGATTTTTGAGACTAAGCTCATTGATAATAAGTGCAAAAAATATTGCTTTATTTCTAGACCCATAACTTATATTAATTATTTAATATCTATTTGGGATAGATGTCAAAGTAATGAATGCAAAGGACAAACATTATAGGTTAAACTTAAGCAATTTTATTTTAACCATCTTATTAAAATGTGTCACTTAATGCCTCCTATATTTGATCTGCATTTATTCAAAAGGCAGTCTGATGTCATTAATATCAAAATTTTTAGTCATAACAGCATTTTTGTGTGTTAATAAGTCAGCAAAATACAAGTTGTAAGTTTATTCTTGCCCCTGTGACTTTTGCTTCTTATTTCGGTAAAATCTTGTTTCCACTGGATCAAAGCCTTGTTCCTTAGAACCATAAACTGCCCAGTTTGGTGTAGGAGCCATATAATCAGATGAGGAGAATGTCTCTTGCCCATTGCTTTCTTGGTAACGTCGCCACAGCTTGTGAAATTGAGGGTAGTCGATCCAAGTCCACCACTCACCATCTTTCTTAAACTTGATTGTGAGAAAATTTAAAGATATGAACATTAATTTATTCATTTATTGAATTGCCTTATGAATCCTTCTGTTATGAAAAATCTTGTATGTGATGGAAAAATATTAATGTACGTAGATTAAAATAAAAATTTAAAAAATTTGCCGAAAGGGGATATTTCAAAATAATTATTATTGCTGCATCCAGGTCTATTTCCAGTCGTCCTTAGTCTTCCAAATGGATCAAACGGACAAGGATGAGTCAGTGAGGCTGATGAATTGAGGAACTCTCCCTCACTTTAAACAAAATATAGCTGAAGTCATCGCTACTTGATCATCTTCGCGAGGACAAAACAATAACAAGAACAGATAATTTTTTAGAAATTTTATGAAATTGCAATGTAACTTCAAGAAGAAAGCCACATCCTACTTTTTGGATTAAATAATACTAAATCACATTTAGTTGCACAGGAACATTTCTCAATTCATTTGGTGATATCAATATTCAATCTTGTAATACCTTTTTCTGTGCAATGAGGAGACAATTAGAATGTTCATGTTCAGAGGCCAGCTCGTAGTCCGGTAATCTGTCAACCAACTGTGTGACAAACTTGACCACCTCTTCGTGCCAGGGAACATTTTCCATTGTCAACGTTGAAGCTTTCGACTCACCACAGTAAGTGACACCCTAAATTTAAGTGTGGATTAAAGACAAGACATTGCAATAAATCTAATTTAAATATTAATTCATATTTTGCCAAATGTTATGTTACAACATGGGGTATGAAAACAAGACAACACCATTGTCAACATACTAGAACTAGTTAACAAGTACACATTTTCTGAAAGTACACTGGACAAGGTATCTTATGGTAGAAAAGGAATTTTTTTTATATTATGTATTTTGATCTTGATCTTTAAATTTACGGGGTTAAGTACAATGTTACTACTTAACTTCTGAATTCAACCCAACCTGACACTCCATAAATTTTTCAAACTATCATAAAATCATTTTTTTGTAGAGATTAGAATATTCTTTCAGAAAATGTCAAGTTAGAGGTACTTATATTGAAAATTGTAATATTGGTAAATTTTTTTCATTCACTACCTTCAAATCTCTGTCATACAAAATACAAGGGTGAAAACATGTAATGAGTTCAAAAATTCCTTTTCAATTAAAGTAATTAAATACACTTTTTATTAATACTAAGGAATATACACAAAGATAAATGTCATTGAATCTCATTAGGGTAGGTATTTGAGATCCATTCTTTGTCGTTTTCTGTTCGATTTACACCCTTTCCCAATAACAATACGACTAAGCTTAGGACTAAAATTGTCAATATTTTACTCTTATGTCGCCATCATCGCTAGAGCTAATGCTGTCATTAATAGCATGTGGAATATCTCTGAAATCGTTGCTTTCATTTTTAATCCACTTGAAATAATTCCAATAATGAAATTCTGTGTTGATTTTGCAATCTAAAAGGGGACCCTGTCTGGCATGAAACATTATGACAGTAATAAAATTGAGAAAATTTCACTCTGGATTAATCACAAAAAAATCCACAACAAAAGAAAAGATAGCAAGGGAAACAGAAAGCAAACTCATTTACATAGAATGATTTCCCCTTAACTAATATACATTAAATCAATCACATTGCTGGCGGCTGATTATCTCGGCCGTGACACCACAGAAAGGGGTCTAACTGCCAACAAATATAGGGTTAAGACACATCAAACTTTTTTTAAAAACTTAATAATTATTTGATAAGTGTCTCATTTTATGGGCAACAACAGGTGAGCTGTCACATTTCATTTGTTACCCTACCTTGACTTCTATAAAGTCTGGATTTCCAAGGGAGACCAGCTTAGCATAGTTATCTAGCTCTTCTGTGTTCCAAGATTTCACTAATGTGAGCCTGTATACTGTCCTCTGACCTTTGTCCCTCAAGGCAGTTAGGCTGTCAATATATCTCTCCCAGAAGTCTTTGAAAAGTGGCCTGCCCGTAAATTATAAACGTGTTGGACTGCGATAAAGCTTTACAATCGATTAATTAGACATGAAAAATTTGTGTCAAAATTTTATGTAAAATTATTATTAAAGCTTAACATATATTTGTATTTTGACACAAATTGTTCGTGTCTAATTAATCTTAATCCTGCCAGTAAAGAGTGGTTTAAAAATTAATTTAATAATAGTATGGTCATTAGAATATTAAATTTTATTTAATGTGTCTTTGCATGGTCATTTGAACTTGAAATTGTCATTTAATGTTTCTCTTGGTATGGTCATTCAAATTTTCAAATATTAAATGGTATTTAAATTGAAATAAGTATGGAAATGTTCGTTGACAGATCTTTACATGTCACATTTACCTGTCGATTTTTTTCAAACTCTCCTTTGTCCCAGCATCTACACTGACATAGAGCTGTGTTACAGGCAGTAGATCTCTAGAACATGAGAAACAAAAAACAGTGAAAGGATGTATAATTACCATCATGTCAAAATATTATTTTATGATTCAAGTTACATTATATTTTTAATCAAGATAATTGTGACTGTTATGATAACAAAATATGTTAGCCCACCTAAGTTCTTTAGGAAACTGAGCATTGGTGACCAAAAAACTGGAGATCTGTTTACTATGCAAAAGTTCAACAAATTTGTTTATTTCTGGATACATGATTGGTTCACCAACTAAAGATAACGCACAATGTTGAATATTCATGGCTTCTTCAAATCTTTCAGGCTGGACTCCAGGGACTCCTGACAGAAAAAACAAATACATTTTCAACTCCATTAAAAAGAAATGTTTTTTTAATTAACTTTTTATTTTATTTTTTTTACAATTCTTTTTAAAAAAGAAAAGGTAATTTTTTTTTTTAAAGAGCAATTAGTCAAGTTAAATAGAAGTTGTTTTTTTTTAAAGCAATTCAGCAGGCCTTCATTCCATTCTATTGGAAAAGCCATGTTGAATTAAACAAGCCCACAACAAGATTTTGAAACCTTGTCAACAAACGGTTAACTGCCATTCTCTAAACTATCTCACCCTTAAATTGTTTGATCAGTTTTATGTGATTATTTACAGCTCCTTCAAACACAGTCTGTGGGTCATCCATTTTCCACTTCCATTCTGTCCCTACAGGATTTGTGTGATGTCTTGATTAAGGGAAGATAAAAGTGTTTTCATATGTTAAAATGAACAATATTTTTTTTTTTTTTACACATGAAAATAAACAATCTTTTTGAAAGTATAGATCTTATACCTGTCTTTAAAAAAAACATTTTTAAAAAAAAATGTTGATTTAAAAAGAAAAAATTAAATTTTCTGATTCTCACCTCCAACAGAAAACACATTTATTAGCACAGGCAAGGCTTGGTGTTGTTTCCATGCATCTGTGACTTTCAATACCATAAAATGTGTGTTTGTAGCATCCTCCCCTTCCCCGAAGCATTGACTTCATTAACATGAAAAAAATTTTTTTTTAAATTACTAGGATTGTATGAAATATTCCTATGATCAAACATCACAAAAATAAATATTTGAACATTAAAGTGTCCATACTTCTACACTAAAGTGGATAAATGTACATTTTTAGATTTAAATTATCTGTAATCTGAAAACATAAATTTTTTAATCCAAATGCAATTCTTTACAATTTCTTAAAACGTTATTTCACAAAATGCTGCAATTTCTTGCCTACCTTTGTCCAACGGCAAAGTTTGACACCAGAATGAGAGCCAATAAGCTTGTACCCCTGCTTCTCTAATGACTCTCTCAACAGAGGCGTAATCATTTCCCTGGGCCCATCACCTGCTCCTGTTTCACCATTGGTAGGTTTGGATTCCTGAAGATTTATTCCTTTCATTTGAATGGATACATAGCTAATTTGTTTACAATCAAAGTCTTTATGAAACGGTGACAGTCTATGAATACACAAGTTTTTAATTTCTATTTTTTGCTTCTTGTTTTGTCTTGTCTGCCAAAGAAGACATTAAGCTGAAACGTCCTTGTAATTTTAAAAAATTTCTTTTCAAGCCTAATCATATCTTGTTACACAATGTATTTACTTTCCACGGTTTGAACATAGTCCCTCATGTTCTTCTTTAAAACACTAAAAGAAATGGTCAGCTCATGAAGTGAATCTTTAGCTCCCAAGGTTAGGAGAGATAGCAACCTATTTATTAAAATAAACTCAATTGCAAGTAAATTAAGTCATAACTCATACCTTAGCATTCTTCATGAAATTACCAAGGTCTTCTAAATCCATCACAGCAGGCTTTGGTGGGGGGCTTGATTCTTCTTCAGAATCAAAGTCCAACTAGAAATATATTTATAACATAATTAAAGAGGTAAATTTAAAAACCATTCAAGAAGTCTTAAGAAAATTCAAAGATTGGAGGGTTTGTTTTTTTATTCCTACCTGTTTATCTGGCCTAATGCTAGGAAGACAAAATGAGAGACACCTGCTTGACATAATACCCCTTTCACGCACTAACAACTACAAGTACAGCTACTATATTTTAAAAGAAGTAGATAAATACACGATCACTGAATTAGCCTCTTAATAAAAAATGTGACTTTTAGGTCTCAACCATAGGCAATGTACTGAACATAAGTGTTGAGAAATAAAATTGTAAACCTCTTCTTCATCACTGCTGCACTTTCCACCATTTGTTTCTTCAGCCCCTTCTTTCTTAGTCTTACAGCTGCACTGCTTTGTGCAAGTATCTTCACAGTTTTTGGCAGTTACTTTGATTCCTTTAAGGGCACGCTGAATATTTTTGGATGATGTTTCCAGCCAAACTTTGAAGTCTTCTTCAAGTCCTGAAATATTTTTTGTTTTAAATCCATTGTTACAAGTAGCACAGAATTACTCTGAAGACAAACAAAACATAATACATATAAATAAAGCTTATTGTCATAAGTTAATGAACACAATTACATTTTTAAAAATTAATAAAGCAAGTGTATTTCTTCCAGCATAACAAATGCCATACCCTTGTTTATACTATTGATGACATTTTCATCTGCAAGACACAATGGTAGTATCCGATTTGCTGAAAGGGAGTGCAACCAGCTATCTACATTTTTAGCAACCTGAAATAAAAATGATCCAAATAGTTACTTATAATTTAAAATGTATGTCTTAATTTTAACCCAAATTTTAAAAGTCTCCACAAGATTAAATAAGGACCAATAAAGTTAATTTTTGAGTTCCCATAATATGATGGTAACCCAAAATGATAATAGATAATATAGTTAAGTGAAAAGCAATCTGTTTAACATCAGTTAATAACAGTCTTCAACAAATAATAATGAAATGACTTGTTCTTAATAATATTTCTGTGCAGAAGGGTAGTAATGCACTTTATGAAGCCAAAGGATTCAAATTAAATGTAGATTTTTATTCTTACGGTATTAAAATTGTCAGAATACAAAGAGTTGCCGAGTCCCACCACAGCAAAATGCAATCCAGCCAAAGTTGCTTTAGTGACTCGAAAGTCCTCAGCCATATCTTTAAGCCATAGGTAGAAATCTGTTGACACTGCTGGAGGTTGACCATCAGTGTATGTTGAAATGACCAAGATAATAATGTTGCCATCTTCAGCCTTATTTTTTTTTAAACAACAGAAAGTGAGGGTTTTGTTTTGTTTTAGAAAAAAAATGGAACATAACATCATTAGACAATTTTTTTCACTCATGCTCGGTAAGTATATGCAACATGATGGAACAAACAAATTTGATGTGGATGATACTTGAGAGTATGTGTAATTAAAAATTATAATGTTAACCTTAATAAGTAAACAGGTGAATTCATGATAGTGTATGATGGACTGCATTCAAGTTCAGTGAAAGAAATAGTGGAACAAGATATCTTTAGGTTTGAAATAAAAAGACAGGACAATTAAACAAACATTTTGGCTAGATTGCCTCCTTCAGCAGACAATATAAATAAAACAAGAAACAACCAATAATTAGATACCGAAAATCCAAAACATATGTAAATAACACTTAAAATCCTAAGTAGCAGTCAAGTGCCTAATAATAAATAATAAAACATGAGGGACTTCTTTCAAGGTGTGTGAAAGAAATAGATTTTTAACAATTTAAGGCATGATAAATAAATTATATAGGCCCCCATCTAGCTGTAAAGATAATATCTTTTATTTTATTTTCTTTCCACACTAAATTCTGACACTCTCAAGCTTCTCAGATACACTTCAAATTTTATATTATTGTTCTGTTAGACAAGTCTGATTTTAACATTATAAAATTATTATTATACACATCTACCTCTGATGTAAATAAGTTTTCATGATCATATGAGGGGGACACTTCAACAACACTAGAACTAAAACCAAGCTGATCCACCTTTGCTTGAAGGGCCTCTGCAAATGCCTGCATAATATAATGGAAGAACATTAAAAATACATGTTTGAATTTTTTTTTTTACTAATGAAGACAAATTTTGTAGTCATTTGTATGTTACCGGAATCTACATTTATAACAGCAAAAGTGGCTAATTTTCAGATGATTGAAACTTGATTAAAACTAATCTTTAAAAGTTTGTACATTTACATAATTCCTTTTTTACTTGAAATGGCTGGAACATAGATCATCCCTCAGTAATATAATCCTTTCCCAAAATCTTAGGATTTAGTTTAGATTATTATATTTCAATTCCTGAATAAATTAAGAATTCATAATCTTTATAACTTTCAAACCTTTACAGAAACTCACCTCTGCATTTTGTTTGTTCACCAAGAAATGTATTTACATATTTAGAACATTGTAAGAGAAATTATGGCAACATTATGTTATCACACAGATTTCCACCAAACCAAAGAAGAAATTACCAGTTCTACCAGTAGAAAAAATAATAACATATATTTTTACTTTCAAACAGTGTCAATGACGGTAAGCTAAAATAAATACACAAATTACACATGAGAAAGGAAAAGGTGCGAATTGATATTACTTTAACACTAACCTTTCCTTTGCCAGTTTGAGATCCGTAAAAGATTTTCAACCGTCTTTTTTGTTTATGATTGATTTGTTTTTTAATATTTGCTCCAACCTCTGAAGAAAAGCTGGATGGTTGTCTCTTACGCTGGAAAAATAAACACAATACAATTAATGATTTAATTTTAACAAATTTTAATAAATATTATGGCTTTTGCAAACTTTCGAATCCTTTTAAAGTTGAAAATATCTTCAAACAACAGTTAAAGTGAGAGAAATTACAAACCACATCTTCTCCTCTACGATAAACAAGCCAAGCCACACCAAACCCAGCCGCCAAAACAGTCCATAATGGTATATGCCAGGTTCCAGTACCAATCTGGTGTTGAAGCAGTTTTTCAAACATTTTGCTTTATTTTGTTTTATTGTTCAAACTTTAATGTTTTATCTACAAGCTTAATTAATTGTATGCCATTATCTGTCCCTGCAAAAAATTGGTAAAAATTGTTATGTTAAAGTTAAAGGAAAAAAATGTGAAATAGCAAATAAAAAATTTGTATAATGCTTTTTGAAAGTAGTTACACTTAAAAAGTTTTATGAAAATGGGTAGCTAAGTGCACCTGTACTCTATATCTGCAGAAATTGTTAACTCAATCTTAAAACCAATTAATGACACTATAATATTAAATCCTAACTATCCTTAATTTTAACAAGTAACTTCTTATAGCGAACTGAACTTAATTAAATTAGGCCTTCATTAGAAGAACTATTAGCTATTTATTACTTTAATAGGTATTTTAATGATTTTTTTAATGGTGGTTGTTTTCTATTAAAAACTAATGAAAGCTAAGAATTTATATTTAATTTCCTTATAATTGTTTACAAGTCAAATAGGAAGTAGTACAAACAGTTTCCGTATCACCTGAGGCCTATGTAGAGCTAAATTTTAATATACTTTAAATATGGTAATTTTCTACTTAAATTGGCTGCCTTGATATCATGAGAACGGTATTCAACAATTGTTAAAATAGGCCTATAATTTTTGCGGTAGGCCTAAATTGAATTACCCAAGCAGGATCATGAGTATGAATTGGAATTTAATAGCTAACTTGAATAGTGTAATAAGTAGAGTAGAGGATGTAAGTAGAGTGTTAGCCTTCTCTGTAAATGTGTAGAGATCATCCCGCGATGGCCACAATCTTGGTTGACACAACCAGTTAATTCTGTCACTAAACCTAAACTAAATGTATCCCTATGTCTAACCTGAACCCTAAATCGATCCCTCAACCTAACCTAAACCCTAATTCACTGCAACTATAATAAACATGCCAATGACGTCACGGGATGATACTCAACATTAGCCGCCTTCTCTAACTCTAAAACTTGAAAAAGAGTTAACAAAGATAAAAAAGATAAGCTATTACTATTTATTATTTAGAATTTGCAAAAAACTTCCAAAGCTTGAACAAATATTTCATGTGACGTGAGAGTAATGTTGTTCACTATTCACTGTGCATAGCTCCCGCTGACGCTTGTTCCTAGATGTTAAAAGAATGATAAATTGAAATTTTGGCCAGTTGTTGGAAATGGGTAACTCAAAACAAGGAAGTAAACAATTTATTCATTCTACATAATAAATATAATATCATCCAATTTCAGTGCTTTCAGGAAACATGTGGCAGCTGGAACTATGCACAGTTGAAAAACCAGGGAGTCTCACAGTACTATTAGTGTTTCACAGTGTTGTTAACTATTACTATTAACTAATATTATATTATACACTCTGTTTAGCCCTAGCCTGGCGTAGTATTAAATTTTAAATAGTAACTCAGTAACTTCAGTAACTGTTACCCTGTAATCTGTAATTCGTAACTGTAAGTTTAAAGTTTATGCAATGATTGATTGGCGTGAATCACGCCAAAAACCATTCATAATAATTAAGTAAGCCCCAGTTGAGTTGCCTAGGCCCTCCCTGGGTATACTTTCGTTAAGATTTCTTTTAACTTGTTAAATTGTGACTAACGGAATGAAAATAATCACCTGGTTGGTGTTAACAAATGCGTATATACCTACAACCGAGAGCGATGAAACATCCCATATTTGTTCCAAATGTATTCTAATTATGTATTAGCCAATAGGCCTACCTGTTATGTCTGTAAATAAATACACTGTGAACAGTTATTTAAATTGTTTTTTTTTAATAATTGTATAAATGTAATGTTGGAAAAGTATTTATAATTTTTTTTATTTTATTATCTGTATTAGGGTAGGGCACTATTTACCAAATTACCCAAATGACTCCCGGGCCATGACCCGTTACGGCTACGGCGTTACAGTTACAAGGCCATGAAACTTTCTTTGAGAGAAAAAATATCGAGTCGAGAAATAAATTCTTGAAAATTTAGCTATATGTTTTGTGTTTTTTTTTGTTTTTTTTTTTTGTTGTTGTTGTTTTTTTTTTTTGGGGGGGGGGGGGGGTTGGATTTTGTTTTTTTTTTTTTTTTTTTTTTTTTTTTTTTTTTTTTTGTTTTTTTTTTTTTTTTTTGGGGGGGGGGGGGTGTTGGGGTTAAATCGTTTTGTTGGTCTTCTTGTTAAAGTTATTTTTCATTAAAATCAATTGCAATAGTTAACTCAATAAAATGATTAAGTCCATTTAAGCTACTTTATAGTTTAGTAACAACTAATTATAAAGAATTTGTATTTTGTATAACCTGGGTAGGAGAACTTAATTTCAACCTAAACTTTTATTTCTTCTGTTTTTCTCTGCATCAACCCCACTCCCGAGCAAAGTGGTAGTGCCGGCACCTTTTTATCTACAATGAAAGCATTGTAAATAAATGGGTAAGGGAGTAATTAGGAGCAAAGTCTGCGAAGGTTAATAACTTGGATCTGAGAAAAAGTTACCATGTTTTTCTCCAAACCTGATATTTTATATTAAGCAAAAACACAACATCACAATTATTATTATTAAATTATTTACCAGATTTCGGTTTCATTTCTTAACGGAGTTGTTGTTGTTGTTGTTTTGTTTTTGTTTTTGGTAGGATTCAATGAATTATTTTATTGAAATATTTTAAAACTTATATGAACATCCAAAACATTTGTATGTTATCTATAATATGCCAAATGCGCAAAAACTTTTTAGTGGGTCAAAAAGAAGAAGTCTAAACATAGCTGGGCACGAAAAACAAGTTTGGGAAACGATGTAGTGGTCCTATGCCAATTAAATCTGATTAAATCTCTACAGTTATTTTAACCTATACCAGGTGGTATATGCATGTTCCAAGACTAAGAAAAATTAGATTAATCAAAATGATATTTTTTATATTGAATTTATGGGTAACCATGGTGTTTTTATACTGACAATGGGATGCATTCTTCTGAAATGTTGGTTATTGTTTTGTTCAATTGTTCAAGCTGTAACATAGCATTGCTTTTTCCCAGAGGCGTAGTGAGGGGGGGGGGCAGGGGGACAGATTTCCCCGGGCGCCAGCTAGTTAGGGGCGCCAAAATGTACTTTGATATTATTTTATTGATGAAAATAATGGGCTTGAGAGTTGAAAAAAAGAAAAAGGGGCCCTTTAAAATGGATCTTATCCCCGGGCGCCAAACACCCTCGCTATGCCTCTGCTTTTTCCCTAAAGTTTATATCCATTTGTTCTGGTTCTGTTTCTGGTAATGTTTCGTTGCTGCATCCATGTACTGGCATCTTTGTCACGGTTGGGGATATGATGTTGCTATTCTAACAGCTCCTAGTCGATGCCAGGGCAGCCTTGAAACTTTCAACCGATGTCGAGTTCACAGTGGCATTGTTCAGGTGGTTCCATGCTATTATTGTGCGTGGAAAGAAAGATTGTTGATACTGCACTGTGTTGCACTGAGGCACTTTGTTGGTAGCAGTCTCCTTCTTTGCCTCTTCAACCCCTAGTGGAGCATTTCAGGCCTGAGAAGAGTATGGTGCAGTCGGTACATTGTTCTTCCAGTGCATTTCCGGCCATGATCTTTTGAAGCATTAGCTCATCATCTAAGTCTGTGCTTGTATCGACATAAAAATTGTCAGCAACTAAAAAGTAGCGAAAATTATTTACTCGCATCCCAGAACGCGAGAGAAGCAATAGTCATATAGGTAGTTCCATCTGGCTCACCGAGAACTAGAAAGATAGCTTTCTTCTGGCAAAGACATTAAAATAAAATGAGTAAAACAGAGTAGGGTTAAACCTGAAAAAATAAACGCAACAAAACAGCGAACGTGTCGGCAGAAAGCCTTCGTCAGCGAACAAAACAACAGAAAAAAACGTTATAAAAATAAGAAATAGCACTTAACTGGTAAGTAGTATCTGTGGGCAGCAATAGAAGTGTGGCAGAAGGAAAATGAGTGAGAGTTTAAATAAGCAGCGGCGAAAAAAAGGGGGGAGAAAAATGTTCACAGTGATAGGTCAGAACGTGGAGGGGCGGAGCTAGGGTCAAGCTGTGAACAGAGACATAGCATTAATCCCATCTGGCGTCAAAGTGCCGTAAGTCAGGATAAGTCAGTGTTCCAAATTGACCCGGCTGGCGGTGTTAGTGCTAGCCACAATCGCACTTATTGAAAAGTCCGCCTTGCCCTGGTGGTCGCTACTATTGAAGTGTTTGGAGACGGGACACTGTTTATCTTGTGTAATGTTTCGGAGGTGTTCGGTACACCTGTCCGAGAGACGGCGTCCAGTCTCCCCTATGTATGTCATCTGACAGCGGGTGCAGACAATGGCGTAGATAACGTTGCGGCTTGTACAGAGGAAACCGTCGCGTATCTGAAAACTGCCCTTGGGGAAACGTATGCGTTCAGTCTGGACGACAAAAGGGCACGTGTTGCAACGACTGCGTCCACACGGCTTGGTCCCAAAGTGGGAGGGGGGAGCATTGATACGACTGCGTACAAGCAGGTCTCTCAGATTTTTATCCCGTCTGAAAACAATGAGAGGTGGGGAAGAGAAAATTTCTCGTGTGTCGGTGTCTGCGAGTAGTATAGATCGATGTTTAAGGAAAACACGTTTAGCAATCAGATTGTGAGGGTGATAAGTTAAAATGAGTTTTGTCCTGTCAACATTGTCGCTCAGACGTGGTCTGAAGGCATCAGCACGTGTAATATTCTTAACCCTTTGGAGGGCTGATGAAAGTACTGTCTCCGGGTAAGACCTACACCGGAAAAAGTCTATCATTTCAAGTGCCTTGTCCCAAAAGTCCTCATCCGACCGACAAAGTCGACGAAGACGAAGTAATTGAGAGAAAGGAATAGAGTCCTTACAGGATTTAGGGTGGGATGAAGAGTAGAGTAGATAGCTATGGCTGTCAGTGGGCTTAAAGTAGGCAGAGGTGTGTATGGTGTCTTTGTGAAGAGTGACTGTAATGTCTAAGAAATTGACTGAGGTCTCAGAGATAAGAGATGTGAATTTAATGGAGGGGTGAAAGGAGCCTAAAAAGTTAATGAACAGGTCAAGTTCACTCCTCTCCATAGTGGTGACCCCTATACTATAGCCTATACCATCATCTATGTACCTCTTATAGAATTCAGCAGCTATACTGGACGCCTCCCTGAATTAATCTGGATTAATCCCCAGAGGAAGCTTACTTCAGAAACTCTGTTTTCTGTGTAACTTTGGTTAATGTTATTGGTGGACTCAGGTTTCGTTTCAATACCACCGTAACAATTTCTGATACGTTCAGCTCCTTCTGGAAGTACATATCCTCTGGACTTACTGGTAGATCAACATCCCTCTGATATAATTGAAGATCTTGTAATGGAGATTAGTTATTTGCCATCAGTTCATCATGCAAATTTTGGAGAGGGCCAACTGAGTTCATTGGAGCTACTGAATTGCTTGAAAAGATACAAGCTGGAAGGACTCTTACCACATATTTGTGTCTGACTCCGTATTCTGTAAACAATTCCTGCCAATGGTACCTCTGCAGTGGGATTATTCTACAAACTAAACCTGATTTTTTAAAAAAAAAATAAATAAAATCCACAATGTCAAAGAGGTGACTGGTAGATTTGACAAAACTTAGTATTGAGTCTGATCTTGTAAAAACGATTGATTTTGATGATTTGATTCGCAATTTTGCTAGGGAAAAGACTAGGAAAGCACATGGTATAAAAGCTATTACATCTTATCTATAATAGCTGTTATGAGCTTGCAATCAATATAAATTCATTGCTTATGTATATTTTGTTTCATCATTGTTTATATAATAATCTGTATTATTGTTTTCATTACATTTTACTGAAGTACCTGTCAGCTTTTTAGCATATTTGCAAGTATGTTTAAATGTGAATTAATAAATTATGCCATTATTGATTTATGTGTCCACGTGGAGGTGAGGGGGTTTATTTTTAGTCGTGTTACAGCACTTAATAAACCTCTCAGTGGCCCTCACCAATTACTTTCCAAGGTTTCTATATTCTCTCTGTGTTATAGGGAATTCCTCCGTCATCTTGATCCATGAGGGTTTCATACCAGTGTTTGTCTTGTTATAATTGGCATGATTATCTATTTTAATATTATAAGTTTATTGCGAATGTAAATTAAAATGTGTACTTTGGAAAATCTGGCACCAATGCTTTACTTACTTCCGGCGGCAGAAAGATGGCCGATGTTTTTGCGGACCTAGATTTATTTTCTGAATTTGACAAGGATCGCGAAGCTCAGGCGAGTTTTATTCATTACGATGAAGATTCTGTGAAATCAAGGATAGTTTTTGAGGATTATGAGTCAGAGAAAGAGAGTGAGTCAGAAGATGATTATGCTGGAGACTTTGAAACCAAAGAACCTTCTGCTGGCAAGGAGTTGGTAAAAACTGAAATTCAAAATGACGCTGCATTGCCCGGCGTTGCTGTCGAGAGTGAAAGTGAGAAATTGATGAGCGATGTAAGTGTGAGTGCAAAGGATGAAACGTCCGAAGAAGTTAAAACTGCTGAAGTTGTTACAGAGATTACTGATGATTCAGTGGGTCAACCTATTGAAACAATTACAGAAGATGAAATGATAATTGAAGATGATGCTAACAATGAAATTCAAAATGAAACCTCTCAATATGATCCCTACGCATACAATTTTAATGGATCCGCTGAAATAAAGCCTGAAGAAGAAATGAAATTGTCACCAGAAGATGAAGCAAAGGCAGCTTGGTTAAATGAGCAACTTTATTCTGAAGCAGCAGAGGAAGCCAAGAAAACGAACATTTCAACGCAGCATTTGATTTTTGAACGTATCCTTTTATTAGGGCCTACATGGCCTAGGCCTATTCATCTCATGATTGTTCAGTGGTACTAAGCCTATAGCTTATACTGGCTATAGGTCTATAGCTCTATGCTGGCAATAGACCTAAGATTCAATCTGCTGTTAGGCTCTCAGCCATATTCATATTAAAATTTAATATTTAAAGCCTAATTTAAGTTTACGAAGTGTCTACACGTCCGGCGCGCCGGACAAATAGTGCGCAAGATACACGTCCGGCGGCATGTCACGTGACCGACGGACGGCTAGTAGTTTTTATTATTCTGAACGAAATGCAGTTTGGCAGATCTTGTGTGGTCTAGTGGTAGAGTGGTCGTTTGACGTTATTATTATTATGATTTGTGGATCAATTCCGGGGAAAGGATATTTTTTTTTTCCCATTTTAATTAAAAATATTTTATACTATATTTTTATTATCATGTTCATCAGCAACAGTAGTTTCATGACAAGTTTTTAAATATTTTGTAACAATGTAAAATGAAATCTTTTATTGGTAGCCTACTCCATACTGGCCCCTGCCCTAATTAATTTTATGGATTACTGGTACACAAACTCAAATAACAAACAAAACAAAAATGTTTACAAGCCACTTTCACTTAAGTTTTTTTTCTATTATTTGCATTCAAGATACTCAGTACATTACTTGGTAGAGAAATTGATTTTAAAATTAACAATAGTTTTGAATCATTCGCAGTCCCGTGACAAGGCTGACCGACAAGATATCTCTCGCCACTTTCTTACGGCGGTCATGTGACTTGGTCGCCGGACAAATAGTGCGGGAGATACACTGCCTTAAGTTTAAGGCCTAGAGCCTAGGTCTATCTAATCTACTCATAATGATTATCAAGGTGATTAGTGATTAGTTAATTAGCAAAAACTTTGATTTTAATTTGTCTTGGAGATTTTAAAGAAAATTTAAATCATTTAGTTTCTTTAGACTTGTCACAAAAAGTTAGGCCCCCTCCAATTTATAATGCCAATATAACGTCACAAACCTCGGCCCCCCCACCCCCCCTCTTTAAAAAATCCATTCGTCCACTACTATCCTTTACAAACCTTTATAGAATGGATATGGAATTACTGCATCTGTGTTAGAAACATTTCCTGGTGGTTTTTAAATAGGGGTGAAAGCACCCTTTGTGGCACGGAAGACTCAGAAAATCAGTTTTATTTGCTGCCATTTATAGTGGTTTCTGCCATCAGAAATTTTTATTGTGAATTTTGTTTGCAACATTACCTGTATAGTTTTTTTTTTTGTATCTAGAAAGTTAATTAAACAAATAAAATGACAATAAAATAATTTAATTATTGTCATTAAATTTTTTTTTATTATTATTTAATTTAAGGGGGGGGGGTGTTTAGAAGTTGAGAGGGGATGCAGCACTGTAACAAAATTTAAGAAACCCTGGCCGGGAACATTTACTATTTTTGTATCTAGAAAGTTAATTAAACAAATAAAATGACAATAAAATAATTTAATTATTGTCATTAAATTTTTTTTTATTATTATTTAATTTAAGGGGGGGGGGGTGTTTAGAAGTTGAGAGGGGATGCAGCACTGTAACAAAATTTAAGAAACCCTGGCCGGGAACATTTACTCAGGGTTCCCGCTGCCTCCTGAAATTCCAGAAGCTCCTGGAATTTGAAAAAAATTGATAAAATCCTGGAAAACTCCTTAAATTTTAAAATTACTCCTTAAGTGTCCTGAGATTTTGTATTTTCTCATGGAAAAGTCCTGGAATTTTTTTTAAGATTTGGTGCAGGAACCCTGTTTACTAAAATCACCCCCATCCCTGCGCACATCCAGTCCAATATTTTTGTTCCATCTCACTTCACGTGGTAGCCCCAATTCTATGATTCCTGCCTCCACATTTCGACATAAATTCTCATGACTGTTAAAGTCACCATACCCCAATTGTCCTCCCCCGTGGCAACTTGATCAGATGCCATGTTCTTGGACCTCACATACCTGTACTGATTCTCTCAGTGATCATAGGTCTGTTATTTAGTGTCATTAAGTGCATTTTTTACTATAATGTTCCACTTTTAATGTGATGTCACATTGCTTAAACAAACACCCCCCCCCCCCCCCCCCCCCCCCCCCCCCCCCCCACCCCCCACCCCCCCCCCCCCCCCGTCACATCGCCACAAAAATGTGACACACCTCCCCACTAAACGCTTGACATCATTTATGGATGGCCCCTTGCCCAATCCATCTTGCTATTTATCTTAACATATTAGCTCTAATAGAAACTAATTAGATAAACTAGGGCTTATTCCACATTCTTTTCTTTAAATGTTTATTTCATTAATTTAATGTCTAATTTGCCTAAGGGATAGGCTATTATTTTAAATAATTTTATGTAATTTTCTAAGTCCTAAATATTAATTGAGAATATCCCTTAGAGCAGTGGTTTTGAACCTTCCTAATGCCGCGACCCTTTAATACTGTTCATGTTGTGGAGACCCAAACCACAAAATTAGTTTCATTGATACTTCATAACTGAATAGTATGTGTTTTCCGATGGTCTTAGGCAACCCTTGTGACATGGTCGTTCGACCTCCAAAGGGATCGTGACCCACAGGTTGAAAATCATTGCCATCCAAAAAAAGGGGGTTGATTAAAACTCAAAAGATATACATGCAAGCAGATTTGACAAAATAAAACTACCTGCTTTGTATTATTATTATTATAATTATGACAATTGTAAAAATCCTTAACATTTATACAGGAAATAAATTCCGGCGCTATGCCAAGATCTTGGACTCAACCAGGCAGGTTTTATTTTATTATTTTTATGTACATAATACTTAATTATCCTCCAATATTTTTAACTCTTAATTTTAATATTGAAGTTTTACTAACTCAGTTCCTTCTGTTAGGAGTTAAGAGTAAAAGAAATTTTTGTTATTTTGTTTGCGTCAGCCTAAATTATAGATTTATTGAAACTAAAGAGCATGCTGATATTTTTAAATGAACGTTCTATTGTAACTGGAGATGTAATAAAGGTTAATTTTTAATTTGGCTTCCTGACAATGTACTAAAGATTAAAGTAAACTAAATATTTTAAAATTAATTTGTGTTTTGCTGTAGGTATGCACCTGACGACGATAGCCCTGCAGTGCAGCTTCTTTTTAACAACAACTCATTTGCGCGCAAGTATAGACAGCAAATTGAACAATTCATCAAAGGTCTTCTTTGGGAAGAGTTTCATTCAATGCAACAAGAATCAGTGTCCGAAATAATAATCAAGGTAGATTTAATCACTTTTAATTATATACATTTTATAATGCAAATTTTTCCTCAGGTTTCTAATACGCATTTATTTATTTTTATTTAAAAAAACAAAAAACTCTCAACACTGAACTTCTTGCAAGGGAATTTAAAGTATACATATTTTTTTTCAAGCGCTTGATAATCTTCATACCCACGAAAAGACGGTTCCAAATCTAAAAGATTATTTTATTTGATGGCAATAAAATGTCATATCAAGTATAGTAATATTCAATCTCTTTTTAGAAGAAGTACTTGGATTACTTTATTTTTCACAATCTTTTTAAAAGAGTCCTGTGTGTTTTGAATGATTCAAACTTAAAATGTTTAATCTTTTTAAAACAAAAGTTTACATAAAAATTCACCGGTTGAATGGTATATATTTATTAAGAATATCTTCCAAGACATAAATACACAAAGATACCTTATTCAATGCGCGTAAATAAACAATCCCTTACAATAGGAGTTCAATGACCAATGCTATGCATATGCACATGGTTGAAAAAAGGCAATGGAAGGATACAAAAGAATTTTGTTTAAATTTTCATTTTCAAACCCAATAAGTTCATTTATATTTCACAAACCTGAGCCTTGTAGCCTTTTGCATTTTGCATTCTGATCTTCCCTCTAATGTATATGTTTCCTTTTTACTACATTAAGTAATTTTACTTAATGTTAGTTTTTTTTTGTTGTTGCTATGCTGAGCGCAGAGATGGTGTGAAATATGAGTAATAAACAGTTTTGAATGTTTCTGTGCTACTATAACTATATATGTGTAGTTTGATGTTAACAATTTATGTTTAAGACTCATAATTGCCTTTTTTTGCTTTGCTGGAAAATTGAATATTATGTTGGAGAAGGAGGTGAAGGAACTGAAACAAAGGATCAAGATCATATTAATGACACCCTATTTTCATCACCGCAGACCGTTACAGTGGTCTGAGAAGAAATGTCCTCTCACTACCATGTACCGCTTGAGAGAAACGATGCCACATCTTTTGATGCAATGTGGGTAGTTAGTGAGTGTAAAATGTAACTTGTTTACATCTAATACAAGCAGTGCCCATGGAAGAAATTTAACGCCAATCTATGCGTCAATTTTCTTTAGAGAAGAGGTGAGGGGCATTGTTATGTTTTCATTTTGCTTGTGTTGGTGAGGAGAGAAAAAGAAAGTAGTTAAGTTTGGCAGACTTAACTCACATCATTTTTTTCTAGAAGTTGGTGGTTTAAACAATGATTCTGAATATCTTTACATTTGTTCCAATTTTTGCAAATCGTCCATTGTTTTTTCGTGTGCTTATGTAGCAAGAAAATGGTGAGGACATTGATATTTCACCCACAGATATTGTAAGTTCAGGAAAACACGCGTAAGCTTCAAGTTTACTAATCATCTGTGGTATAAATAACTTTTTCAGCCTGGTCATCCATCTTGCATTGATATAAACAGTAGTCTCCCTCTTGAAAGCAGAACAGAGAAGATGAGACAGCGACATGGGGTAAGTGGCTTAAAAGTATTATTATAATTAATTATTGGGATAGAGGTGTTATTTTTTATGTATATTTTTTTTAGTTTATATGTTGACATTTTTTTTTCTTCAGATTATTGGCAACAGTCAGTTTCATAAACAATTTCTCATAGACTTCCTTGGATGGCCCTTTACAGTAGCTGAACCTACCAGATGCAATGTCAACTGGGAAATACCTCTGTAACTAATATTTCATTTAATTATGAGATTTAATACCGTAGCTCTATAAAGTTTAAACCAATTTTTCAATCATTCCTAATGTTATAATTTAAAAATGTATTGATCATAGACATTGCAAAATAGTGTTTGTAAGATCAACATGCTATTTCTGCTTTTCTTTGAATTTTGTTCCAACTATGAAGTTAAATTGAAGTGTAGAAATAAAACTACCCACATGATTAAAATTGTTGACATTAATTTGAAAAAAATAAATCTTTAAATTAAAAAAAAGAAAGACAAAAAATGCTACTTATGTGCAGCAACAATTCCATTAAAGTTAACTGCTACTGTATTATCTTTAGATATGGACAAGTCTTTAATGAGGTTTATGCAGATCCAACTAATAAGCTGAAAAAGATGGGAACAAAAAGGTATGTTTTTGTGGGTTTTTTAAAAATTTGATTTTTAATACTTTTTGAAAAACAAAAACCATCCTCTTTTTTTTTTTTTTAAATTAAAAGAAATAATAGTGTAATTTTGTGTTGCTACTAAAAATACATAACCATCTGTTAGATACTAAATTTGTTAAAGTTTCAGTCAAGTTTGCTTTAGGGCTTCCACTCTGTTTAATGTAAACATGAATCAAACAGACAAAAACAAGCGTGTTGGAACTGTGGTGAAGAAAATCATGCTGTGAATGACTGTAAACAACAGAGGATCCCATCGAGGATCGCATCAAATCGTAGAGAATTCTTGACACAACAGCAACAGAATGCCTCATCGTTTGAGCCTAAGTTTACGTAAGCAAGACCTTTATTTTCAGAAAACTGGCTGAGGTTTTTTTTAAACTTCGACACTCCAAACTGCTTTTTAATTGGGAGAAAAGTTTTGAAAGATTACATCATAAATAAATAAAAGATCTCTGAAATGGCAAAGGATAAACATTTTATAAATAAATTAAATTTGAGTACCAATTTCTATGTGATCAATGAAATATTTGTGTGACCAGCAGTTATTAATTTAAAGGCAATAATGCATATTAAAACTTGTATCCTCATTGTAATAGTAAAAAGCCAAAATATGGCTGATTTGGCAAAATTATTAACTAACATAAATGAAAATCATACGCAAATTGTTTGCTATTATATTTATGTAATACTTCTTTTACTTACCTTTTAAAGACCATTCCAGCCCACAGTGGCTATCATTGGACTCTGATTAAATGACTAGTTGCACAAGTCTTGTAAACAAATACAAACAATCACTTTGAGCCATATTACTAGCATTTAACCTAAGCTCATCAAAAGTGATTGAAATTTAAATAACTCAAGGTTAGAAGAATTATGGGTCTCAACATTTTTTATTATAGCAAATAATCCCGTTAACTCGATCCTGTTTGGGTGCGATCAAAATTGTCTGACAGAGGTACATACAGATGTGACTATTGCATTCAGATGATGTTAGAGACACTAACAAAAGCAGCTTTTTTTATTTACACAGTAAGGTTGTGTTCATGGCCTGGCAATAGACAGCACATTTTTGGAGTATATACATCTCTTCCTGGCAGAATCAGTCATGAAAGATTTTGTGAATAAAACTAATGTCAATGCAGTGCAGCATGTAGCCTAACAACAAGGGACAGCATCTGGTCAAGCCATCTTAGGCAGCCACATTGAAATGGATGCCATTGATTGCAAAGGACGTTAAAAAATAATACCTTTATGTCCACATTATGTTTGGGTTGATTTATATAATCCTGATGGAAGAATTTACTGATAATCAGGCTGTGGAGATTTTCAGCAGTAGCTAGTTAGATTTGATATTCACTGCTATTTCCAAGTGAATTATTCTTCTCAAAAACCTGTGGCCCAATCTGAACTTCTTTTGCTGGTTTTATTTTGTGATCTTCTTAAACCACTTATAGATAAAGCCATGAATGGTTGGATATAAGGAAGACTTGGCTTTGAGCTGGAAATAGAAGCTGATACCCAGGGCCGGCCCTAACAACTGTGGGGCCCAATCCGAAACAGATTGCGCTGGGCCCAGTCTGGGTAGGGATATGGATAATAAGTGAAAATTAAGATTTTGTATTAGAAAGTGGGGCCTATGAAAGTGCGGGGCCCACTGCAGCCGCATAGGTTGCAGTGGCCTAAGGCCGGCCCTGCTGATACCACAGAAAATGTGGTGTTCCACAGAAATAAAGAGTTTAAGAGAAGCTGGACCAACGGCATAAAGTTAATTTTTTTTTTTCTTGCCAAAAGGTGCAAGAGCTGGGGTTTGGCACCCACTGTTACGGAACCAAAAAAAGGGGGGAAAAATGAAGTTTGTAAACGCTTGGGAAAATTGAGAAAATCATGGCAGAAAATGGTGGAGATTACTTGTCTGCCACTTTATAGACTTTTGACTGGTATAACATGATATCCACTACTGTAACTCAGATGTGGCTATGAAAACCATCCAAATATGTTCTAAATAATGAATTATAATCCTGAAATTCCTTATTCATATCTCAAAATTGCTTTATGTTTGGATTTTACTATAGAAAGTTTAAAAACACTTCTCCCAGTATAGTATTAAAAAAAAAAAAATTGGAAATCAGCATTGATGTGGATAGAGCACACATCATCATTGATGGGGATAGAACACACATCATCATTGATGGGGATAGAACACACAACCAATGTAAAGTTATTGAACTTGTTTTTATGGATCAGTGACATCTAGATTTACGCCCTATTAATGTACCTAAACCTGGAAGAATCTCCAAGTAAATAAAGATAATAAGCTGATTCTCTATCAGCAAGTGCTGGACAGTATTTAAATTAAGCCTAATGGGGAAATTGTTAAAATATTGTCAAGTACTATTAAAAACTAATGGTCAGGTCATTTCATAGACACTTAAAATGTCAATGTCTTTAACTTTAAAAAAATATATTTTCTGTTACCGTATTTATCGGCGTATAACACGCACCTCATTTTAAGAAGGTAATTTCAGGAAAAAAAAATTAAATTATATCGGCGTATAACACGCTCACATCATTTGCCCCCTATTTTCAGGGAAAAAAAGTGAGTGTTATACGCCGATAAATACGGTACTTTATTGTCAATTAAGTCTCATGAACACCTGTTAAGAATCTTCAGAAATAAGTTTAATCTAATTTACTGCTTACACAATGGTATTTTTCTATTAGCAAAAACAATTGGTACCTCTGGAGCGTGATGAACACTAACAGAGCCCTGAAAGTCTGAAGTTTGTTTGTTTTAGTCTTTTGTCATTGTTGTAAACGATGCTTACGATATACAATAATGATTATGCATGGTGTTTTTTTTCGTTTTTTTTTTCTAGAGGTCCATCACGATATCACTTGGATCCTGAGTTGGCCTCAAAGTTCACAAAATTCAAGCCAGGAGTTGTAAGGTAATTAGCTCACAAAAAGTTGATGGTTTTTTTCTCCCATACACTAAGGTATTCTCAATTTTCACTCAGTTTTACATTATTAAAAACAAGCCCTGAACTGCTGGTATAAGATTATTTTTACATAAATTTTTCATTTAAATTTGTCATCGGAGTAAATATTTGTCATACGTTCACTATTTATCATTTAAAAGCTCATAAATTATCTACATAAAAATGTTCTTCTGTTTTAAGTTTGTTATAATTTATTTATAGTTAAAAAAATTTAACACTAAAACCAGTTGAAAATGTTAAAACTTCCTAAAATGGTGTACATTTTTAATTGGTATCAGCAGAGATTGTAAAATTGTTAAAATATTAATTTCAGTTCTCATGAAAACAGTTTCTGATCTTTTGTTGCAGTGAGAGTCTGAGAGAGGCCTTGGGTCTTTCTGAAATTCAACTTCCCCAGCATATTTACAAGATGCGATTGTTTGGCTACCCTCCTGGTTGGTTGGCAGAGGCAAGGCAGGTTGAGTCAGGTGTTACCATATTTGATAAAAATGGCAGAGGTATGTCAATGGATCAATATTCAAGTAAAAGATGTTAATGTATGCTTGCAATTTTCATTAAAGAAGTGCATGGATACATATTACCTTGGGAATGGAAAGAGCATATTGGAAATATTGACTGTTTTGAAAAAAATGAGTGTCTTGGTACTTTAGAAAATTAAAATTCACTTTGGTCAACAGGTAATTTAATATGAATTCAAAACACTATTTCTATTTTCAAATGAAGTCTGACTTTGTTTTCAAAAGTCACATATTTTTGTTGTTGTTGAAAAAAAATTGTTGTAAAAGAGCAGTAAACAACTGAAAGAAATTTAATCATGTTGATAAAATATGCCCTTTACATTTGCAGGAAATATAATTAAAAGCTGTTTAAAATTGTATAAAGGCAAAAATTGAAGAAATTGTGATAACTAAGGTTCTGTGATTTTTTAAAATTTACAAACAAAGAAGTTTGATTGTGGTAATAGTAAACCTGTTGCTTTCACATTACCTTTATTTTCATTAACATTATTCCTATGACTTTTCAGAACAAGTCAAGTTATTGTATGTGTGTGTATCCAATCTTGTTTAAATAACATGTATGTGCATATTTTACTCTTTGCTCATATGATAAAACAGTGTAATTTTAAAATAAATACAGGAAGTGGTGTATTAAATATGTAAATTTTACATTACTGAGTGTGCATTTCAATTGTAAATGATTCCATTTTTGGCTCATCTTCCATGTTTTTTTCTTCTATTTAAAGTAACATTGATAACAGGAGAGTGTCTGGAAGATGGGGAACTTGATGATGAGTCATCAGAAAGTAAGATGGGTAATGTTGTCTTTCTTATTTTAATGTTGCTCTGAGAACTCATTTACTACAATCAGTGGAGCACTTATCAATCCTTTATTAGTAGATAAATTTTTGATACAATATTTAAATCCCATGATTCCTGTTTTTTTCTTCAGAATATGATGTCAACAAAATTATAGAGTATCCTGGTTTCACCATCCCGGTCCCTTCTGGCTATGTGGATGTAAGTATTTTCAATGCTCAACTTTTAATAATAATAATAATAAGATTTCTTTTATAGCACGGTACCCCAGCATAGGGCTGGGCTCACCGCGCTGTACATAAAAATTTTATCAATCTATATTCACCCACCCCACCACATAGCTTTTACAAGGCAAACCATGGACGGCAGCCAGCAAGATTATGTTGTGTGTACCATACTTTAATTGAATGGGCGGTTTCATTCATGCAATTATTAAACATGTGTGCTTCCATAAAAAAAATCTGATGGATGTTTGCTCAGCTTGTAAATAAATAAAGTTATTTTGCCTGAGAAAAATGGATGACATTAAGTCTTTTTAATGAATCCATCATTTCAATGACTTTCTAGTGATGTGTAATGGTGATCTTCCTTCTGTCTTATAAATATGCATTAGCTATGTGGTGTGAAATGTTGATTGACAAGTTCATAATAAACAATTATCTTGTCCTATAAAGGAACATGCTGTGTACAAAATGCCACCCATTCAGCAACATCAATTGAAAAAGACTTTGATGTCCCAGTCATCAGAGAAGGTAGCTTTCTCATTTATTATTGAAACTAGCTACTTAATGATTCCCTTTGCTTTTAATCTCCCAGCTATTTTGAAAAATCGGCCCTCTCCAGGCTAATTTGAATAATAATTGAATAATTATTAACATGGGATAGATTTTAATAACAAGTTACGTTTACTGATTTCACAAATGATCTTCAGGGAAAGAATGGAATTAATATGTCATTAAAGGAGGCCTGTGAAAATATCCAGTCATCCACCCTGTGCTTTATTAATGAGGTAACGCTCCTCTGTTTACAGGTTTCAGCTAAGAAACGTAAGCGAGAGAAAGAAAGAGATGAAGACGAAGAATGTGTGAAGAAATTAAAGACTGATGAAGACTTGGAGGAAGGGGAAGGTAAAATAATTCACTTTATTAATTAGATTGTTGTTTGTGTTTTTAATTCCATAGCTTTCCAATAATGTGTTAATATTTGTTCATTTTACCATTAGATAAGAAAATGGAACTTAAGAAATCAGAAAACTTTATATTAAGACAAGTACCTGTGCAGGATCCCATTTCACCACTGTTAAAAAAAAACACTTTTTTTTTTTTTTTTTTTTTTTTTTTTTTAAAAAAAATTTTTTTTTTTTTTTTTTTTTTTTTTTTTTTTTTTTATATCTTAAATTTTAAAATCAATTTTGGAAGCTTTTAGCAGGAAAAAAAATCAAATAATTCTAAATGAGAATAGATAAAGAATTAATGTTTGATCAAGCTCACTTACAGCAAGAGTTTCAAAGTGTATATAGAAAGATCAATTTACTTTTGGGTTTGAGCTTTATAAAAAAATTATGAATGAAGATGGCCCAGCGGGGCTTGTCATTTCTCAGGCCCTGAAACATCACAGTGCAATGCGTAATGTTAGTATTTTTAGAACAATGCACAATTTTTTTTGTCAAACATGGCTGCAAAAAATGTTTTTCAGCATATACATTTATATTAGTAACAGTAAAAATCTTTTTAAAATGTAGTTGGAAACAAGTTTCAGCCTACTTCGTTAACTAACATTAACGAACAGCTGTTAAGATATTGGCCAAACTGAATACTTGGTTGAGAAATTGGCCTAAGTGAATGCTTGGATGTTCTATTGATATATTTTGACCTTTAATAAGAATGCCTGAATGGTTTGTTAATAGATTTCGGCCATTAAATGACAAACCCTCATTGTAAATTTCAATCTCATTTCTCATGTTCACTAATATTAAAGCCACCTAATGAAAGTATCATAATAATATTTAAATTTATAATTCAGTTTTCAAATATGTTCAGATGCTAAGATTATGTGGTGAGATTTTCTTTTCTCCAGACAATTATTGAAAATTGATGCACAACTTTTCAACCTATAAGAAATGCATTATGAAAACGTTGTTTTACTCTTTAGCTAAGGAAGAAGGGGAGGAGGGTAACATCACAAGAGAAGAGGAAAATACAGACATGAAAGAATCAACAACATTAGACGAGACACAGCCCCCAACCAATAACGAGGCAGAGGCACCGCCATCTTTGATGAAGTCATCTTCAACAATTTCATTGAGCAAGGATTTTGGTACACCTATTTTAGTGAGTCTGGTTTCTTGTGGTTTTAATCAACCGTTTATTTTCAAATGCCTATCTGTTGTATGGTGTTTAATGATCATCCGGCTATACAGAAGATTTTCTGAATGGATTTTTAAAGTTGGCTAAAGTAAAATATAAGCTTTGAGAGTTATTTATTATTAGCCTAATCAATAAATATTTTATCTTTGAGTAAATATAGTCTGCTTAAGTATCATAATTTACGGACAATAAGACGCAACTTAATTTTTAAGCAATTTTTTTAAATAACATTTTTACTATTTTTATTATTAGATTGCAAACAAACTAAAGAAAAATTCTTAGTTTATAAAACCAAACTGACCTTTAAAATCCCTGAAAATCGTCATCAGAACTTTTTCTTATTCTACTTCGTCATCATCATTGTCCTCTTCATATATAAGATGGTCCTCACTGCCATCATTACTTATGATGAAGCACTTCTTGAAAGATTTAACAATAATGTCTTTTCTCACTCTAGACCATGACTCTTTTATCCACTGACACATTTGTTTGATTGTAGGTCATTTTAAAGTTCCCTTGGCATGAATTCATGTTGGGTTTCATCTATGATCCATTTGTTCCATTCCTCTTTCATATACACTTTAAATGGTTTATTTATCGAGACATCAAGAGGTTGCAACTGTGAAGTAAGTCCTCCCTGAATAACAGCAAGCTCTATATTTCTCTTTCTCAATTTCTCTTTCACAGAATTTTTCAAATGACTTCTAAACTGATCTCGCACAAGAAGAGAACTCTTCTTCAATAAAGCACCTTTCCTTCTCTCCCACACTGTGTAAATCCATAATTTCATACCAGTCTCGTCCATCCAACCCTTATCATGTACATAAACAAAGCACCTGGCAGAATTTCATAAGGTTTTGGCATTGTTTTGTGCTTGAAAATGATAATTGGATTAAGTTTAGTACCATCAGCACAACATGAAAGGACAACAGTGTAGGGATTTGTTCATGTGCACTTGTTTTTATAGTTACAGTTTTAGCACCTTTCACAGCAACAGTTCTGTTTCTCAGCACATTAAATGTCTGTGGAGTTTCGTCCATATTCGCTTATGGCTGAGTTCCGTCCTAGTTTTCTTTCGATGTTGAATAATAAATCGATGGAAAGATAATATTTTCTCTTCATACTCTTGTGGCATTTTCTGAGATATTTTGGTTTTTGTTCGCATGCTAAGTCCAGGATGCTTCATAAACCTGTAGCACCAACCAACTTTACCCTTAAAGTCTGTTAAGGTCCACTGTAGCGCTAGCTTACGTGCGAGTATTTGAATCATTTTTGTATTAATTCCAATGCCTTTTTGACGGTGTCCTTGAATCAATTTCAATACGTCATCTTCTAGTTTTGGCCATTTTGCATTCAGTCCTCTATTTGCTCATTTTTTTAGTTCCTCTTTACTGTCCCACCATTAGCGAATGGTTTTTTCTGTTGGTGGAGGGCCAAAATGCTGCTCAGCTGCTCTGTTTCCATGTTCTTCTGCATATGCTATTACTTTCAATTTATAGCCCCGCATCATATGAATACTGGTACCTTTGATTTTTTTCCATTTCGTAACTAGCTACTAACAAAAATATTGTACTGTTACCGAAAACACAAATCACTTTCAATTCAAGTTCACTGGCACCGTAGACTGCAATGACGCATCATAGACTAGACAGTATCATAGACTAGACAGTGTTCTGGGTTTGTGATGGCGGGGTGGGAGGGAGACAGTGTTCTGGGTTTGTGATGGCGGGGTGTGAGGGAGACAGTGTTCTGGGTTTGTGATGGCGGGGTGGGAGGGAGATGGTGTTCTGAGTTTGTGATGGTGAGGGGGGGGGGGGGGGGGGCCACTGTTAACAAGCTTGTGAATCCCTGCAACTCATGTTCCGCGCACTGGTGCACTGCTGCTGCCAGTTGAATCACGGGGTGGGAGGGAGACAGTGTTCTGGGTTTGTGATGGCGGGGTGTGAGGGAGACAGTGTTCTGGGTTTGTGATGGCGGGGTGGGAGGGAGATGGTGTTCTGAGTTTGTGATGGTGAGGGGGGGGGTGGGGGGGGACACTGTTAACAAGCTTGTGAATCCCTGCAACTCATGTTCCGCGCACTGGTGCACTGCTGCTGCCAGTTGAATCCAATGTTTCCAGATATATGTCAAATATATGGCCATTTTTAAGACTGGCAGAAATTTTAAATCAAACACTGGACATTTTTATATTAATTTCGAGTATAAGATGCACCTGAATTTTAGAGGCGATTTTTCAAAGAAAAAGTGGCATCGTATATTCTTTACAATTCTGTATTTATTTCATGGAAATAAACTAAAAGAAATTAATTATTTTTAGTGTTGAAAAAAAAAAAACAATGTTGACATTTTAAGATTTTACTCATGAAAATCTACTTCCAGTTAGTTCAATCGTTCCCATTTGGAATTCAACTTCAGAATTAAATAGAAACACCTTGGCCCTTCTATTTAAAAAAATTAATATTACATTTTTTTCTTCAACAAAACTTGACTATTAATTTAAATAATTTAAGAGTTATCAGTGGCACTTTCATTATAGTGAAATAAGTTAGTATTGTGTTTTACATCATGATTCATCCAAATACATTTTTATTTTAGGTGAGGGAAAAGATAAGACTTCCAGATGCCAGCAAATTTGGAAAAAACATTGAAGAGCACATACCATATGAGAATCTTCCCAACTCCACTGGAATATTTGACAAAATGAGAGATCTTTTAGAAGAAATACGCAAAAAAGCTAAAAAGTAACATACAGTACCCTTAATATGTGTGATGTATGTTTGAGATTGCTGTATGTTTGTTTTTTTTATAGAAACTTTACTTGAAATTTTAATTTCTATTACTATTTGTAAACCTGTTACTACAAGCTGAAATAAAAAAAATATATAATATTGATCTTAAAAAATGTGCTTTTCCTTTTCCAATAAAATGGAAACTTGAGCTTTTTATTTTAAGAAATACTGGTTCTATAAGTTTTGTTTACCTGTCATTACTTTTAAAATAGGGATGTTTCATTGTTCACAATTGCATCACAATGAGCTTGTATACAGTTACCATTCCTTACACAAGTGTGTTTCTCCACTTGGTTGTAGCATTTTTGCCAAATCATCTCTGTGAATCCTGTAGGCTACAGCACCACTCCAATAAAAAAAAATGTGTTCATAAAATGAAATAGGCTCTTCAAATGGATAGCTTCCCTTCATCCACCAATCCCTAAATCTTGAAACTTGTAAACAGATGTTTTGTTTATTTTCTTTTACTGCTTATCTAACTCAGATTTGTATTAGTTGTCATTTGGTTCAACTTTGTGAGCTACATTCATCATGATAAAATAGTTTTGCAGCATCGATGTTGTCACGAGTAAGTTTTGTAATATAAAATACAAAACCACCGAATAATTAATTATTTTATTATTTTTTTTAAGTTTGTTTTTCTCATAACGTAAGTTATAATATTAATGTTGGTTCATTTCTTTGTAATATGTTCCTTGTAGTTGGGTTAATGGGGTGTGGAGATTTGCTCAAAATAATTTTAGACATGTTTAGAGTAGGATGGTTTTACAAGTAAGTCCTTTACTTTTACTGTTCTCACTGTTCTTTTGGTCATAGTCACACATGTTTTGGTTTAGTCACAATAGCATTTCTCTCATTCTGTCACAGTAGCATTTCTCTGTGTTCTGTCAAAATAGCATTTCTCTCATTGTTCTGTCAAAATAGCATTTCTCTCATTGTTCTGTCAAACCCTACTGCCATCGGTCTAAGTGACATTAATCTCCATTGACAAACCATATAGCGGTTAAACTACAGTGAAACCCTCCTGCATTGCAGGGTTAATAACATTCATTTATCCTGTCTTCTAATAATGCATACATACACTATGTATCATTTGTTCTCTCGTATTTGTTGATTTATTGATTGTAGTATATGATGCATCCATTCATACAAAAGTTGCATGCTAATAGAGTCTGTAGGTTTGGTTGAAATAAAGTAGTAAATAAAAATGTTTAATCTTAAAATAAACTGTGGTAGATTGTGTCTGTTTATGGTTTAGTCTTTCAGTTCAAAAGTAATATGATTTAGATCAAGGGTTTGACGCTTTTTTTTTTTTTTTTTACAAAGGCCAATAAGGGAATCTCGTTGGCCTCCGGGGGCTGGATAGATTGTGCCAAATTCATTTTTGCCTACCTGTATGATCGGAGCATCTACCAAATTTTTATTTTTTATAAAATACAAATTTAAAACATTTAAGACCTTTTTTTCCTTTGTTAAATATTTTTTTTTTTTTTTTTTTTTTTTTTACAAAGGCCAATAAGGGAATCTCGTTGGCCTCCGGAGGCTGGATAGATTGTGCCAAATTCATGTTAGCCTACATGTATGATCGGAGCATCTCCCAAATGTTTATTTTTTATAAAATACACATTTAAAACATGTAAGACCCTTTTTTCCATTGTTAAATGCAACACCGCTGTTCTTTTCCCTTGTTATTACACAGCACCCTAGTTTGCCGATCCCAATTCTTTGTGAAACTGCTAAAGGATTGGTTGAAATTTATATACATCTTCATACACCTTACTTCAAATCTCATACTTGTCTTGTTGCCCCAGACAGTTCATGAGCCTCTACATGATAAGATCTGAGGTTTTCTTGTATTTCCCCTTTTTTTAATGGCACACAATTAATTATAGCTTGATGGTGTCAGTGTCAGAGGTTTGAAATATTCAAAATTGAATCTTTTTATGAATTAAATATCTTTATTACATCTATCATATAGGGAATTTCCTTTGAGTAGAAATATTAGAAAATACCTCTCATAAATATAATCCAATTATGTTGTTATTTTCTTTAACCATTTCAGCTAGTTGTCATTAGGAAATTCTAGGTAAAAATCTGCCACAGTGAAGTAGAATTTTAATGTTAGATTTTTTAATTTCTTATGATGTGTTCATGTTTAACTAAAAATGGATCAATTATCACTGATTACATTTTTTGTGTTTTACCCGTCATATGAAATTCTCTAACTTTATCACTATTAATACTATTAATATGTATTGTTTCTCTCAAGTCATGTTCACCCCCCCCCCCCCCCCTTTTTTTTTTTTATTTTTTTTTTTTTTTAATTTATGTTTACCCCCCCCCCCCCCTTTTTTTTTTTAGCACATTAAAACATGCTGGGTATTCAAAAAGAAGAAATTTTTCATCTTGAGCTGTTTCATTAGTGTATTATTATTGATACAGATTGAACAACTTTCTTTCTGTAAATGAAATTGCCTGGGATAATTCAGTTGTGTTTTACACAAATAAGAAATAAACCAGTTGACAGAGATTGACCAGACATTCTTGTTATTGGCCAGCACACTCAGTCATCTGTCACCAGCAAGTATTGATTGCTTGGGAATCCACCAACTGCCTGGCCATTAGGTGGAGGCGACCATTGTTGTTAATAGCCTCTTTCTGATGCAAGTCCTTAACATGTTTAAAAAAACAATAGAACACTTGGAGTATAGATCGATATCACCTGAATCCCACAAAAGAGATTGGGAAACAAAAAGATTCAAGAATAGTTATACCTCATGCATCATGTTTTAGGATTCACGAATTCAGATTTGCTAAATTTTCATTGGAACCTAACTAATTCACGATTATTTTCACAGATCAGCAAAATTTGTTACTTGATTTTACCTAACCGTGAGTGCAAATGAAAATGGCAGCCAATAAATTAGTATACTGTAGGGCAGGCCTGCACAACATGCTGGCTGCATGTGGCCCACCAGCACCCTCTTTGCGGCCCGTGAAATTACAAAATATTCTTTATTCATATTATTTCTTAATAGCTTTTCCCCCTGTCCTATTTTCTTTTTGCCCGCGCAAGTTTTTCATAAAGTATTAGGGCCCGCCTTACCTTTTGAGTTGAGCAGGCCTGCTGTGGGGGTAATATTAGAATGGTTATGGTGTCATTCTGCCTTCTCGAGACGATGGAGTAGCTATTAACACTTCATCAAATGGATTACGAGGCCGATCCTGGAATGTCGATCTCGGCTCCACTTCTCGCTGGAGAATCTTGACTCCTAGTTAGATTTCAACTTCGGTAATGCTCTTTTTGTTTCAAGGGCTTCGTTTCATATTTCAATATACAGCACTGTATTATTTTTTTTGTTTTATATTAACTCATTGATATATTTTTTAAGGGTAATGTGTTGCTAACTTTTAAATGGAATTAAAGTGCTGTGGGAGCATAATTTGAGTCACATTTAGGGGTTAAATTAGATATTAGTATTTTTAGTGACTCGCACCAAACATTCACGATTCCTCCTGATCCACAAACAGGTTCTGGAACCTAAGCTCGCGAATGTTCGAGGTGTGCTACTGTTACGGCATATAAATGAAAAAGGCACTCTTTGTGCCCTTAGTTGAGACATACAAGTAAAAGTCATTGATTTACTTTCATAAATTCTTAAATAAATAACAGAGGAGCATGTGGGATTAAAGCCCATGAGCCCCCTTTGGGAATTAAAAAAAAAAATATTCATACATGATTAAAATAAATAAGCTCTTAATACTCTCAAAAGTAATAGCTTCTAACTAAGCCAAGACCTAGATCAAACCCATTGGCAATCCTCTAAACCTCCTCACTACTCTTAATCTATGTTTGGTCATTGTAACTTATTTTAAAGTTTGTAAAGGATAGTTCATAGAAAGAAGCTTTTGAGAAATGCACAAAATACAGTACAGTACTTGATGAGCTGAATATCAGGTGGCTAAGTACAGTACTTGATGAGCTGAATATCAGGTGGCTAAGTACAGTACTTGATGAGCTGAATATCAGGTGGCTAAGTACAGTACTTGATGAGCTGAATATCAGGTGGCTAAGTACAGTACTTGATGAGCTGAATATCAGGTGGCTAAGTACAGTACTTGATGAGCTGAATATCAGGTGGCTAAGTACAGTACTTGATGAGCTGAATATCAGGTGGCTAAGTACAGTACTTGATGAGCTGAATATCAGGTGGCTAAGTACAGTACTTGATGAGCTGAATATCAGGTGGCTAAGTACAGTACTTGATGAGCTGAATATCAGGTGGCTAAGTACAGTACTTGATGAGCTGAATATCAGGTGGCTAAGTACAGTACTTGATGAGCTGAATATCAGGTGGCTAAGTACAGTACTTGATGAGCTGAATATCAGGTGGCTAAGGGATTGTTGTTTATTTTTTCAAGTTAGATATTTCTTTTATTTTTTACACTTATCTTTTAACTACCGTTCAGGGTAGTAAAAAAAACAAAAATAAACAACCTTTTATAAGTCCAGCTGGGTGGCCTGGGCGGGCTAAACTGACTCAAACCAAAAAGCTAGTGGTCTTGAGTTGGACGGCAACTCATCTAAGAGAAGGCAAACTCTGAAATTCAAACCAGGAGCCCAAATGATCAATAAATTGATAGTGGGCCCTAAAATATGAAGGGAAAAAAAAAATATATATATATACGTATATATTTATATGAATTAAATGATAAATTCTCAATCAGCTGATATTTTACCCTTCAAAAACACCCCCCCCCCCCAAACCTAACAACGTTTAGATTTCTGACTAAAGAAAGTATTGGTAAAAATTAAGCTCATCTATTTACTTGAACAATGTGTGTTAAAAAATATTTTGTTAAAATTCTTAATGGTAAATAACTATCGTTTGTTGTAGTGTTGAAGGGAGGGAATATGGGTGGTGTGTATCCCACACGGGCACGTTACTGGTAGTGGTAGAATCAATTAATGTTTTCGGATGCATGACTCAATGTGTGATTGAAATAAAAGGTCCAGATTTTCCACGGAAGCCTATTTTTTCGTTCTTTTATTTGTCTATGTTTTTTTTCATTTTCTAAACCACATGCTACCACTTTTGCTTTGCAATGCACTACGTCATCTGAAATGACAACAAAAATACCGGTACAAAGATTTTAGGATTTCTTAAATAATTCCCTTGAGTGGGAGCACTACAAAGTCAATTACTGACAGCGAGAGAAAATGGGCGAGGACGATTCCCCCCCCCCCCCTTTTTTTTTTTTTCACGCGTTCTTCATTCGCAGACGTTTAAAATGTTTCCTCAAAGTTCAAACCTACAGACGGTACAAAAATATTTATTGCGTCCCGAACCCGCTGTGTTTACACCAATCCCTATTCCACACTCTAGTATTTTTTTAATTAAAAAAAAACGTGCCATTTAATTTAAATTAAGCTTGATAAACCCCATTAATATAGTGGTAGAAACACTAGTGCAACAGCCCGACGACCAAATACAGCAAGACACGTCATGATAGCTGAGGAGTGTTGCATCATGTATTGGAATGTGTGGTGTGGCTCTTTGCCGTTGGTCTGTTAGATGCTGGCTTGTCGACAGCTGACCCTTATGTGGGACACAGTGAACTTGTTGGAGCGCACCCCCCCCCCCCCCCCTTTTTTTTTTTT